TAAATTTTAATATTTTAAAATAGTGATTAAAAATAATCTTGTATTACAATATGAATTATTTATCTTAAATATAATTTATAATGAAACAATATATCAAATAATTTTTAAACTTTTTAAAAATTTATAAATTTGATTTATACATTAAATTTTTTTTAATTCAATGTTAATTTATTGAAATTTGATATAAAAATGAGTTCTTGAATAAAGTAAGTTTAAATAGATTTACTTCACTTTATATATATATACTTACTTCAAAAGTAAGTTTATCTAAATTTATTTATAAATTTTAAAAAATTTGAAAATTAATTAATATTTTATTTTATTAATTCAAATTAATAGGTAATTATAAAAATATTTTATACGTTAATTTAAATTAATGAAATAAAGTATCAAATAATTTTTAAATTTTGTAAAAATTTACAAACTTAATCAATGCATTAAAAAAATTTAATTTAATATTTTGTTTGTTAAAATTTGATGAATGAAAATTATTAAATAGAATAAGTCTAAATAGACTTATTCTTAAAGTAAGTGCAACCCTCCTGATATTATATATAATATATATGTTATTGTATCACTATGCACAAAGTGATTCTAACTAGATTAGTATCACTCCTTACATCAATCATCTTCAACATATCTAGATTACTGTATAAAAAGGAAAAAAAAATACAAGTAGTGATGGAATTGAACCAAAACCTACTAAGAAAACCTATAATGTGAAAGACTATATCTGTCCCTAGAATAAGTATAAACAATATAAGTGAGGACAAAATTTCACCAATAAAAACCCTAATTACGAATGTCATAACCAACTAAACTATCAGCACAATCATTGTCTCCTCTATAAATGTTAAAAAACCCAAATTTCATTTTTTTACAATGTCTAACATATTTAACCATATGTTCCTTAACCACCACGATACTATAGAAGAATTACAAAAAGACCTGACTATAAGGACAAAATCTATTTCAAGTCAAATTGAATTACAACCATGATCTAGAGCAATATAAAGAGCATGAATAACAAACCATAATTTTTGCTTCAAAAGTAGAGTTAACATCTAATGACTTGGCATAACAACTCAACAAAACAACTTTACAACCTTTGAAAATAGCACCACAAGCAAAAGTAGAGTTGTGTTTCATGTAGCCTCCATCAGAGTTGCACTTAATCCATCCCTAATCAAAAGGAATCTAGTTGACTTTAAGTATACTATCCAACTTTCTTGACCTGCAAGCAATCACAAAAGCTTTTAGTGCTTTAAATTCAATAACATCATATTTCATGGAATAAGTTTCAAGTAAGCCACAAGTATTAATATACGTGAAAATTTTGTTTTTGATACGATGGTAATGTGTAATTTTATTGTTGAACTTTGTATGATTTCTGTTGTGTCATATTTAAACAATTATGAAGGTTATAATAGTTAAAAAAACAACACCGACCAATTTGCTCCATGGTCTATTGAGGATCTCTAGAATATTATTCATGAACTAAGGTCTTTGAGAAGTTAAATTTAAGAAACTTAATTCTCAAAGAAATCTTATATATTATCTTCTTCAAGATCAAATGAGTCTTTAGCCAGATATCCTTACAATTTATCTAATTTCACTTAAGTACAATGTTATATAAACCCATTTTAAAAATGTATTAAAAATTGTTTCAAAACTATTAACAATAAGATTTGAAAATTAAAAACTAAAAACTTAGCATTACCATATTGTTAGTCAAAACTAGAAATATTACATTATTTTTAAAATTTAATAAATTAAATTAAACATTTTAATAATAAAGTGATCAAATTGAACTAATTAATACATCATTTAAAAAAAAATTAAGTAATTAAATTAAATATTTTAATAATCAATACTAAAGTAAACCAATTAAAGAAGGATTAGTTTTGCTATTTTATTTTATATACTATTAAGAGTAAATAAACGCATTTGTATATAACTATTAATGTGATTAATATTAAGTTATTATAACCTCTTGTAATATAAAAATAAACACCGATAGATATTATAGTAACCTCGTGATAGTATTAACTGCTCGTAACACAAAATTAACCAAAGTTAGATGTTAATCAAGTAATAATATATCGTATATAATTACATTTTTTTTTTTAGTAACCAACGATAGTCCTTGTGATAATATTAACTATTTCCCATTATTAAATATTTAAATAACCTCATGACATTAATAATTAACATTCATAATTATATATAATTTTATTTATTTATTTTTAACCATTTTGAAAATAATTTTAATTTTTATATACTTAATGTTAACTAACCAAAATTCATGTCGACAGCAGGTGAACAAAACTCCATGGAGGGTTTTTTTTTTTAGGGTTTAGGGATTAGTTATTATATTTATTCATATTAATAGATGTCTATTTAATATTAATTGATTTAAAAAGTTATATTATGCTTAATAAAAGTAGATAATAAATTGTTGAATGGTTAATTTTAGCCGACAGTCGAAAGTTATTACTTTAACTTTATATATTAAAAATATTTTAAAAAATTAAGTATTGAATTAATTCTTAAATATAAAAAATATTCAAATAAAGAATCTGCAATATCACGTGGATCAAACTTGCCAACTATAACCGTTAGAGTTAGTCTAGTGGTTGGATGAGGAGGGATTGTAGTAGTTAGAAGCATGAAGATCTAGGTTCAATTCTCATAGCGATCATCTTTGTAATCTTTCAAATCTTAAAAAAAAATAAAAAAAACTTGCCAACTATAAAGTAACTAAGGGTGAGCATGAACCGGTTCATCCTACTAATTCAGTACCGTTTAACGTATTAGATTTCATGTATTCTGATGATAAGTTTAAGTTAGGTTTATGGTAAATTCTTGGTCTTCTGAATCTGTTTAATGTCTTACATTTTATTAAAATGAAAAAATTACTGAATATTTATATATTTTAAATAAAACGTGAGTTTTTCTTTTATTTAGTCACAATCATATATATATATATATATATATATATATATATATTATAATACTTTTAATTGTTTTTCTTTGGCGAGATCATTTATAAGAATTTTTCTCAACCTTTCATATCTTTCTTTTCTCTTTTTTCTACAACCTCTTGTTTATTTTAATAAATCTTTTTTGTTATTTCTAAATTAAATTTCAACTAGTGTTTTATGTTTAGTATATATAACTATATGATCATGTTTAGGGATTGGTTAATAGCTTTGGAAATTTCAACCTCTTATATTTTGTTGAGTTTATAAATTAGAGTCAATTATAATTATTATTTAAAACCATTAAAATATTATCTTTTAATTTTAATAAGATATATTAAATATTTTCACAAAGTTATTTAAAAATTATTAATTCAATTCAAACTAGCGAGAAGTCACCAGTTATTTATTTGCCACAAAACTAAAAGTACCAAAATAATGAAACAAATAGAAAACTGAAAGATCCTTGCCACAAAAATGAAGTTAGTATGTGCGCGGAAATCAAACAATGTAGAAATAAAAAAGAAGAGAAATTAAAAAAAAAAAATGAAGTATTCAAAATCTGTGAATACTAGTACTTGATACAGGGTCATAAATCATAATCGGACTTCAGTCGAACCAACAAATAATAAATACTTTCTCGATGAAGAAGAAATATTTCAATCAGCTGCAAACAAACAAAACTTCAGATTTAGACCAAGTCATTCATAACTCATAAATTTCAGCAGAAATGGTATCGAAGATCAAAAATAAAGACACTCAGTTCCAGCCAATGCCTTGTACATTTGGAATAAAATAGTGTATACCAAAGTTATCTGTCAAATTACTAGCTAGTATGTTGAATACCTATGCTGGATAGTTGTAACCAAAAATATAAAATGTGCAGAATATAATGTACCCAAAAAAATCCAGAAAGATGAATTAGATCAATCATTTTTTTATGTCTGCGGGCACCACATAGAAAATCCCTTGCAATAAACCCCAAAACATATTCAATGAACTGTTTAAGCAAACTATTCACAAAATCATAAAACACAATACTGCCAAAAGGAGTTAAGAAGTTACCTCTTAATTTGGTTCTTCCTCCTTTGTTGTGTTGTCATCAACAATAATATCTTTGGAGAAATTTGGGTTTCTAGAACCGCTTGCAAATGATGTATCTTCTAGTGACCTAGGTGGGATGCTGGTATTCTCTTGATAAATTAAGTCAGCAGATGTTGAACCATAGGGAACTAGTGCATCTGAGCCTGGTGCAGGAAAAGATCTTACAGCACCACTTGTGAAACCTGAGTTGTTTCCACCTTGTATTTGAGAAACACCAAGTGAATTAATAGGTTGAGTTGATAGTAGACCATAACTAATATTCTGGGTGACAAAAGATGGATTTCCAGAAATCATCAAGCTAGATGGCTGAGGACTTATTTGAAGATGCATCATTGACTGCTGCCTTTGCTGCTGCTGCAATGTATCCATCAACACATTGCTTCTCTGAATACCCATTTGGGGCCACACTCCTCCATATATAGATGGATCTATGATTGGCTGAGGGAAATTATTGGCAATGGAAATGTTAGAAGGATGACCTTGTTCTGGATGGGAATGGTTAAGCAGTTGTATACTTGGGGTAGGAGCCGGATTAAGGGTTGGCAGTGTATTAAACGAAGCTTGGCTAGGAGCAGAATTAAGGGTTGCCAGTGTGTTATAGGCAACATGGCTAGGAGCACCCAAAGATTCCACTCTTGAACTAGATTCTGTAGTCCCTTGAATGAACGCCATCTCATTCTGTTGTGTTGCTTCATTTGACGAACTCTTAATATAATGCCTATATTTCTGCCAATCACATGGTAATAGTGTTAATTACTTAAAACAATAATATTAATCACTGTTAGGAACAATAAAAGGCAAATCCCTTGGTTTAGTTGGATTGATAAAAGTTTGACGCTAAACACCTATATTTCATCTAAGTTTTTACATGACAGCAACTGCTGCTTTCAAATTCTCTACCTTATTGGGTTTATTTATAAAAAAATGTATCTTCTCATAACCAAGTCCAATTATGAAAAATCAAATGCACATGGAAACAGAAAATAACCTGCAAATGACTAGCAATATTCTCTCTTGTCAAACCAGGGATATTCATCACTTCAAGAATTTTCTTTGGCACAGCCTCTGAAAAATAATTAAAAGAATCAGACTATGCCTTATACAAGGATCACAAAACCAGCAAAGAAACTCAGTCACTAAATGAACAGAGAAAAAAAATGATAAAGAAACATACTGTCATCCCCAATTTGCTTCACTGCCTTGACAAAGTCACGATGCAGATTTGGTGTCCAGATTACACGTGGCCTTTTTGCTGGAGGTTGATGAGAATTATCTGATTCATCAACCTCGTCGGGTTCTCTTGAACTGCTAGCGACTCCTCCTGTTACATCATTATCAGTAGAAGAACCAAACTCAGAATTATCTTTGTCCCGTTTTCTGCTATCATCATCTTCCAATCTGCCAAAATTGTTTTCAGTCAAGACTTTCCTAGCTGCATGTGTCCAGATGTTCTTCAACTGGTTCTCTTGCAAAGGCTTAATCCAATAATCACACGCCCCATTTGCAACGGCCTTCATTATTGAACTCTTAGCATCATCAGCAGACATCACTGCACATTGCACTTGATAAGTGAATCAAGTTTAAAACCTATCTATACACACAATAATTTAAAGAACAAGTTTAATTACACACCGATAACAGGAATATCCTTCTTGACATGCTGAAGGAATTCATGGCCATCCATGTCTGGCATGTGAAGCTCCATAAGTATCACATCAACGGAACCACTGCTTTCCCTCACAAGATTCAAAGCAAACAGAGATTCAGTGCATATGATAACTGCACACAACATAGAAACTATATCATTAACCAAAAAAGATTAAATCTTTGTCCAAGAAATAGTGAACAATTAAATATGATGTATGTATCTAACTTTGATATTGGAGTCCAACGCAGATTTGCTTAATGAACTCAAGAACTGTGGGGTCAGTATCAATTGCAAGGACCCTAAGACTAGCTGAGAATTGAGAAGCCTCAGAGGGGATTTCGGCCATTGCTCAGTGTGTGAATAAACTCGTTCGGCAAATACTTGTGAGACAAGTTGGAGAAGGTATGCAAGTGAAAGAAATTGGAGATTGTGGTTTGTTATGCATTGGTGGTTAATTTTGATTCGTGTTTCAAATTCAAATGCACCCTAATTTAAATGATTTAGGATAAACAGAAAAAATCTAACAGAGATTGACCCTATCTTTTCACATTCACACTTCTTTATCCTGCATTCTCATTTACAACATGATACAGGCTTATATCAACCAACAATAGAGGCTGGGAGGGAAAAAAAAACTAACCGTTACTTAGTTTGTTAATATCAGAAAATAAAGGGTAAAAGTATTATCATAAAATTAATATTTAATTAATTTTAAAAAAATACTTAAACTAGTCAATAATTCTTTTAGTGAAACTGACACTCAAAATAAAATAAAATAAAATATTAATTCATTGGGAGAAAAAATCAAGAAAACAATAAAATAATCACAAAATAAGCGATAATTAACCCCAAGCGTGCGGTAGGGGTTGATCCACGCTTAAGCAAAGTTAGGGGTTCGAATCCTGCCTTGTATATGTAGCCGCGTTAAATCTTGGGGGCAGCTATCCCACCCTTTGAGGTGCCTCCAACCTAGCGAGGAGATTAGTCACTGCTGTCGGTGGTGGAAACTCCAGGGACGAACCAAAAAAAAAAAAAAAACAATAATTAGATTTAATTTGTAAAGTAGTTAAAGAAAGAGATGCTGATTATAATATATGAAAATCAATTTAAGATTATTGTGACCATCTATTCACAATTACTCTGTGTACGTAGATGATAATAACTATTTTGTATTAGTGCTTTGTTTTTCAAAGTTTTTCTTTAATGAAAACGATTTAAAAAATATATATATCTTTTATCAATTTTTAATTATTATTTTTTATTTAAAATTATAAATAGTTAAAACAATTTCGAAATTACAAATTTATCATAAAACTAGTTTGGTTTTATTTATAATAATTATTCAAGAATTAAATTTTAATAATATATTTTTTTTATCATAAATCTAAAACATAATCTATATATTTAAAAATATCTATTTATACAAATTTTAAATATGATTCATATATTCAAATATAATAGTTTATTATAAATTTTAGTATATATAGCAAAAAAAAATTGTGTGCAGGCTTAAAATACTAGTATTTTTTTTATTAAATAAGAGAAAATTACTAGATTTAGAATATTAATTGTAATAGAATAAAATCTACTATCTTATTCACAGGAAAAAAAAAAAAAACCCTACTATCTTATAAACTTATTGAAAAATTGTTGCATAACAAAGGGCGTGCGACAACATAGTTAAATAAAGTAATTAAAAACTAAAAAGATTAAGTAAAAAAAATATTTTATTTTTTGAGGAAAAAAAAAGTAAATTCTAAGAACTTTAAGACTCTTCAAATGTTAAATGCATCGATTTTCTAGTCATACTCACAATTGAGTTGAAACTAAAAGTGCATTGTGAAAGAACACATTATTGCGAGCCTGCCAGAAAACTAGGATTGTTCACCGTTCGGAATTTTCGAAACGACTTCAACGGATTCATTTTATAAAAAACGAATTGATTATCAAATTGTTTTTTATAAAATAAATTATTTTGTTTTTTTCCTTAAAATGGATCGATTTTTTTATATTTAAATTAGATTGATTCGATAAATTTTAGTTATAAAAAATAGAATCAGATATATTTTATCAAGAAGAAATATTCAGCTAACTAAATTGCTTTTAAAAACAGACCTTTTCAGTTTTTTTTTTTTTTTCAAAATAGTTTAATTTGTATAATTTAATTCAGTTGGTTCGATTGGATTCAATTTTTTATTTTTATTTTTTTACATCTTGCCCTAGTCAAACTCACGCCATCCATCGGTGTATTCTATTCTGCAAATGAATCTATGTTCTTTCAATGTATTGCTGTGTACGATCAAAAAAGGTATTGTTGTGTAACTGGTACATGAATTAACCGGGTAGACAATGTTAATATTCATTTATTGTTAAGAACTTTAAAAAAGTTAGTTGATAGTAACTTTTTAGAACAGAAAAAAAAAAAAAAAAAAAACCGAAACTATGTTTAAAATTTAAAACTAAAAATTAATTCTATATTGTAACAATTTAAAACTCAAACTAAATCACATCATGACCTAAATAATTAATAATTAAGTTAAATAGTCAAGGTTCTCTGAATTATTAAAATTAAAAATAAAATGATAAAGAGTTAATTGAGGTGATAGTTGTGACCTTGTGAGTTGTGAGTAGTTACTCACATAATGAAAGATTATAAGGACTTAAATAAAATCTTAATTTCTAATTTTTTTTATTCTTAACAATTAAGAAGTATAATGATTTAGTAAAAAGTAAAAAAATTAAAACAATTAGATAATGGGATAGAAAAGAGTGACATAATACTTCTATATATGATATAGTATTTCTATATATTTGTATAGGCATGTTTGACCAGCACTAAGTTATATAATTTATTTGGAGATTATTATATATACAAATATATGAGTTATACTATTATGATAGTTACACTTTATATTTATATTATATGTATGCCCATACATCCATTAGTTTAATTGTTATAATTCTAATAGATTAATTTTTGTTATAAGGTTATATATATTATTAGCAAATGTAACAATAATTTATGCAGAAGAATAATTGTAACAAAAAAAAAATACACAAAATGTATAAAAATAAAAAATAAATATCAACTCCAACAGCTACAAGATGTAATGGTGATTATGTTGTTGCTTCATCGATGTTGCGTAAATAAAAATGGAGTCGCATTTCTCTAATAATAATTAAATTGTATAAAAAGAATGTACATGAAAATGGAGGCATGGAGAAATAACATGGTTCCGGAATTCAAAATTCGTACTAGTGTAAGACTAAATTAGAGACCAAAACAATAGTAGTTCGAAGAGAATCCGATGAGGTTGATGAGCCGGAGCATTCTTAATTATGAACCCCCAGCAAAAATCCACGAGTAATATGGACACCAAAGCTGCATCGGGAAATATTCGAGTAAAGACCTTTTCACAAAATATTTCAATCTGCAGAATCATGTCCCAAAAAATTATAGTTAGATCAATCATTTATGTAATCTATTTTCATGTCTACGGACACCAATATAGAAAGTTCTTTACAATAAACCCCAAAACGTATTCAGTGAACTGTTTAAGCAAACTAAACACAAAATCATAAAACACAATACTGCTAAAAGGAGTTAAGAAGTTACCTGTTATTGAATCCAGTGAAGATTAGGACGAAGATATCCTTATAAAGCCTCTTGATTTGGCTCATCCTCCTTTGTTGTGTTGCCATCAACAATATCTTCGGAGAAATTTGGGTTAATAGAAGCGCTTGCAAATAATGTATCTTCAAGTGAGCTAGGTGGGATGTTGGTATACTCCTGATAAGTAAAGTCACCCGATATTGAACCATCGGGAACTAGTTCATCTGACGCTGGTGAAGGAAAAAATCTCATATCACCACTTGTAAAACCGAAGTTGTTTGCATCATGTACTTGAGCAGCACCGAGTGGAGTAATAGTTTGAGGTGATACTAAACCATAATTAATATTCTGAGTGAGAAAAGATGGATTTCCAGAAATCATCATGCTAGATGTCTGAGGACTAATTTGATGATGCATCATTATTGTCTGCTGCCTTTGCTGCTGCTGCTGCTGCAATATATCCATCAGCACTCCATATATAGATGGATCAATGATTGGCTGAGGAAAATTATTGGCAATGGCAATGTTAGAAGGATGACCATGTGTCACACCTTGTTCTGGATGGGAATGGTTAAGCAATTGTATACTTGGGGTAGAATGTTCCTCTTTTGATATCAAATTACTTGGAAGAGAAGGATTAAGGGTTGCCAATGTATTATTGGAAACATGGCTAGGAGCAGTCAAGGATTGGAAGTCCACTCTTACAGGTGCAGCTACCCTGGATTCTGTAGTCTCTTTGATGATGTTTGGCAATGGCATCTCATTCTGTTGCTGTGTTGCTTCATTAGATGTTGCCTTCGTAAGTTGCCTATATTTCTGCCAATCAATATTGTAGTCACAACAATAATGTTAATTAGATAAAACAATGATATTAATTACTTAAAACAATGATGTACTCTTAAATAGTATCTTGATTTGGTTGGCTTAAAAAAGGTTGACACTTTTTAACACCTATATTTCATTTAAGTTTCTACATTGCAGCAAGCTGCTTTGGTTGTTCACTTTATAAGAAAAGTTAAAGAATGATAACCTTTTGATCAAGGGCTGGGATAATAATGAAATTCAATCATGTATGATAAATATAGAGCAGAAGAACAAAAAATTCTCTAATTTGTGGGATTAAGTTGTAACAAAATGTATCTCCTTCATAGCCAAGTGCAATTATAGAAAATCCAATACAGACTAAACAGAAACTAACCTGCAAATGACTAGCAACATTATCTCTTGTCAAATGAGGGATATTCATCACTTCAAGAATTTTCTTTGGCACAGCCTCTGAAAAACAATTAAAAGAATCAGATTTTGCCTTATACAAGAATCACAAAACCACCAAAGAAATTCAGTCATTGTAAGAACAGAGAAAAAGAATTGATAAAGAATCATACTATCATCCCCAATTTGCTTCACTGCCTTGAGAAATTTACTATGCAGATTTTCTGTCCATATTACACGTGGCTTTTTCGCTGGGGGTTGATAAGAATCATTCGATTCATGAACCTCATCAGGTTCTCTTGAACTGCAAACCACTCCTCCTGTTGCATCAATAACAGTAGAAGAACCAAATTCAGAATAATTTTTCTCCCGTTTTCTGCAATGAGCACCATCCAATCTACCAAAATTCTTGTTTTCAATCATGGCTTTCCTAGCTACATGTGTCCACATGTTCTTGAACTGGTTCTTATGAAAAGGCTTAATCCAATAATCACAAGCCCCATTTGCAACGGCCTTCATTATGGAACTCTTAGCATCATCAGCAGACATCACTGCACATTGCACTTGATAAGTGAATCAAGTTTCAAACCTATCTATACACATAATTTAAAGAACAAGTTTAATTACACACCAATAACAGGAATTTCCTTCTTGACATGCTGAAGGAATTCATGGCCATCCATGTTTGGCATGTGAAGCTCCATTAGTATCACATCAATGTAGCCTCTTCTTTCCCTCGCAAGATTCAAAGCAGAAGGAGATTCAGTGCATGTGACAACTGCAACCAACATAGAAATTATATCATTAACAAATAAAGATTATATCTTTGTTCAAGAAATAGTGAACAATTAAATATGGTGTATGTATCTAACCTTGATATTGGAGTCCACCGCAGATTTGCTTAATGAATTCAAGAACCGTGGGGTCATGATCAATTGCAAGGATCCTAAGACCAGCTGAGAATTGAGAAGCCTCATTGGGAATTTCGGCCATGGCTCACTAGTGTCAATGAGTGACTAAACTTGTTATGTATTGGTGGTTAATTAGGATTTGTGTTAAAATTTCAAATTCAAATGCACCTGTGTGTAATTTAAATAAGGATTGTGGTTTGTTATCTATTGGTACTTAATAGGATTTGTGTTATAATTTCAAATTCAAATGCACCTGTGTTTAATTTAAATAAGGATTTAGGATAATCAGAAATCAGAAATAATTTAACTGAAATTCATTGACGCTATCTTTTCACATTGACCCTTCTATTAGTTACATGATAAAGGCTCATATCATCCAGCAAAAAAAATAATAATAAAGGCTTGTATATATCGATAAAAGAAAGGTATGGATCAAAAATAAATAATGGCTTATAGAGGGGGAAAAGAAAACTGCTCGTTAATTTGAGAAATTAAAGGGAAAAAGTATTCTCATAAAATCAATGATTTAATTAATTTACAAAATACTGAAATTAGGCAATAAATTTTTTAGTTGAAAATGCAAGGACACTTAAAATAAAATAAAATAAAATAAAATACTAGTTCATTGGCAAATCAATCAAGAATAGAATACTAAAATCAAGCAACAATTAGATTTAATTTGGATTAAAGTTAAAGAAAAATGTACGGATATTAATGTATAAAAACCAATTTAAGATTATTATGACCATATTTTCTCGACCATTCTTTATATATGGATGAAAATAGATATTTTTCAGAAATGCTTTGTTTTAAGAGATTTTCTTCGGACGTTTTTAGGATTTTTTTAATTTATCTTTTTCATACTTACTTATAATTAAATTTTAATATTTTAAAAATAAATTACCAATGTTGTTTTTTAAAATTTAATTTACAAATATTTCTTCGGACTTTTAAAAATTTCTTTGGAAATTTTAAATATTTAAAAATTAAATTATCAATTATCAATATCATTTTACAAATTATAAAAAGATGAAAAATAAATATTTTTTTTATAGAGATGAAAATTTAAACTCACTGATTTTAGGATGATTAAAAACATATTTAAGTTAAATATTTATTAGTTTAATTATTAAAAACTTTAATATATTCAAAATATTTATTTATTTTAAGTTTTAGTTATATAATATAAAAATATATCCTAACAGGATAAAATACTATTTATATTAGAATTGAAAACTATAAAGGTTAAGTATGGTTTAAGTAAAAAAAAATGAAATTCCAAGAACCTTTTAACGCTAAGTAACTTTTCTTGGGATCAATATCACACGAAACGTTTAAGTAACTTAATGTCACCTTAGGAATATAATACAACTAGTATTTTTATCATTATTTTAGTAAACGCAGGTGCAGATTAAATGATTATTAAAGATATCTAAACAATTGTAATAAATTATATATAAAAAATATTGTATTTAAATATATAAATTATATTTATATTTTATATAAATAAATATTTTTAATGTATAAATTATATTTTAAATTTATAAATTTATGTTAAATAATCTATATCGTTATATTAGATAATTTTTATTATTGGATAACTTATTTTAAAATATAAAAATTTAATTTATAAATTAATTTTTTAATACATACATTTTACATGTTTATGATGGAATCTTCACATCAGTTTATTCTCAAATAATTTATACATTGATAAGGCACGGTGGGTGGATGGAGGATAACTCATTTGTTGGAGGGACTCCTCCAATTTATAGGAGACTTTATTTCACAGATAAAAAATTGATTCTTCCACATATGAAGATGAAAATGTAAGGATGTGTTTGGTTTCAAAAAATAAAATATTTTTTTATTTTTTTATTTTTTTATTTTTAAATTTTAAATATATATTTGGTTTAATTATTTTTAATAAAAAAATCATAAAATATTTTTGGTTTTAAATTTACAATCAAGATTATTTTTTATGTATAAATTAAAATTATATTTTATTTTAAATATTTCACTAATTTTATCTTATATTTATTCTCATTTAAATGCTCTTATCTCATAATATGTGAATTTCATTATGAAAATCGTAAATATTGCTTATATTTTTTTCATCAAATGAATAATTTATTATTTAATAAGTAATGATTATATCAAAATAAAATATTTTTTTTTATATTTATAAATTATATATATATATATAATTGATACTACTTATTTTAAAATATAACGATCAAAAATTAATCACACTAAATATTAATCATATTTAATTAAAATTGTTAAATAATATAAGTAACAATTATGATATTTTCTACCTTACATGTAATTATATACAATAAAAAATTTAATATAAAATTTTATTATAAATAAATACCAAATGTCAAACATATAAAGTATCACATTTAAATAAAAGAAAATCAACTAAAAATCAATTGAAACTAATACCATAGAAATAACAACTATCTTCAAACATAATTAAATGAGTCACAAATCTTAATTAAGTTTTGATGACATATCTTATTAAAGCATAAACCCAAATACAAGGGTTAAGTATCGTCACATCCAATATTATCATGTTTATTATAAGTTTTAAATTTTTTTTAAATATTATTCATTCTCAAATATGTCTTTCAGTATGAGAATTTTATATTTTCATTAAAATATTGAATGTTACATTTTAACACATTTTTGTAATTTTTTCTTCTAATTATTTTTTATTTAGATTATCTTAAATTTTAAAAAATATTTCAAAAATATTAAAAATAACTAAACATACCTAAAAATAACATTCCAATTAAAATATTTTTGAGAATATGATTTGCAGAAGGACAATATAAAACCTCGAAGCATACACATGTCAGATGAATCATCGCTCACTTTGTCTATCTCTAAACCTTTCATGGCATGTGATTGAGGATTGTAATGATATTGTTTCATATGAACATAAGCATGACATCCTCAGTGGCTTATTCATGGTTTTCCAAAATCTGTTAATGGAGAGAATCTGATTATTTTGCTGTAAAAATATTGTATGTTATATAAGAAATTTTTTTGCTATTATTTATATTTATAAACCTTTTTTTTATATAATTTATATTGAATTGATAGAATAAAACATTTAATAAATTCATCTTTATTTCAATAATTTTATTTTAATATAATGAAAAATGAACCATTTGAAGGAAAAATTATATTAATTTTGTCAATGATATTAATTGTTGTAGCAGTCCGGTATAAAAAAACTTTTTTTATAAAAGAAATCCAAACAAATTCTAAAAGTTAAAACACTTTGGAAAAGTTAGTGTTTTGAAAAGTTGAAACTTAGACATAAATTTTAAATGTTGATATTTTTTATATTTTAATTTTTGAATTTATTTATATTGTTGTGATGTTGACTTTAGTTAATTGTTTATAAACTTTATTAGCATGCATTTGATATCAATGAACTTTATGATTATGAATTTTAATTTAATTATTATTTTAGATATTGAGTACTATATAATGATAGTATTTTTAAATTTAAAATGCAAAATTGTATTATTATGATTTGTGATTTAAAATTTTAAATTTGAACACATGATATTTATCATTTAATAGGTCAATAGTTATATTTTTAATTTATAAAATATTTTAAATTATGTTAATTATATTATTTTTTAATTTCTTTTAATATAGGATGGTTTAACCATTTTCATAAATAACCTTTTCAAATTAACTTTTAAACCATTAAGTCATTTCTTAGATCAATTTGACTGATTTAATTTTTATAACATTGATTATAAGTACAAGTCATTTGATTGTATAAAAGAAATTCAATTATGTTTTTAAACCTCTATATATGTGATATATATATATATATATATATATATATATATATATTAATTTTTCAAATTTAAAGTATGTGTTTTTAGATTCCAAAATATAAAAATTATCATTTCATTCTTTCAAATTAAAAATTTATATTTTTAATCCTATAATTAAAAAATGTTATTTTAATCTCATAAACCATTAATAACATAACTTAAGATAAATTGAAACAGTAATATTAATTAATTTAATATTTTTTTAATAAGAACATTAGTAGAATAATTTTGTACAATAAATTCATTAACAAATTTTATTTGGCATATTAGTTAAAAATATTTGAAAAAAAAAAACAATAACTATTGATATTTTTAAGAAAAAAAAAATTATCTTATATATATATAGATGATCTCTAACAAAAATTAGTATAAATCAAAATTTTCGATAATAAATACTTCATATAATCCCTATCATAATTAAAAAAATATATTTTAAAGTTAAAAATACACATTTTAAGAATTAAAATAATATTTTTTAAAAATTTCAAAACTAAAATTTAAAATTAAAAAAAAATATATCCAAATCTGAAGGAATTGAAAAGTTAAAAAATGAGAAAAAATGATAATTACTTTGAATGTGATAGTGTGGCTCATTTGGTGTGGTATTGGTCCTTCTCCACGACGACGAAATCAATCATCGGTGGTGGTGAGCACTTTACTCTTTGTTCCGATGGATCTTCTTTCCTCTTTCGATAGTATTTTTATATTCCCTTGCAAAGGGGTGGAAACCCTTGTGCTCATATTGTATCTTCTTTTCTTCATCGTTTATCATCTATACTGACTGCATATGGGTCTATGTATTGTTGTGATAAAGGTTTATTCAGTGCGATTTCTTTTCATTCTATTTATTCTCAGACCATACACGATGCGGCTTGTACATTGATGTTTACTGAATTCATGTCAGTTGCTTTTGAGAATTTATATGTAATTTAGTTCGTTCACTTCCCCCACCATGATATGACTCTTCTGTTTTAGGGTTTGTGTTTTGAGAAGGCAATTTTTCATTCCACGCAAGCTACTTTTTGATCTTCTGCAATGTAAACTTCATTAACTCACCGAGTGAACCTTTTGTTGATCGGGTTCTGATCTGTTACCCTTAAGCTTCTTTTTGCTTTTCTGCGATGTAAACTTCATTGTCTGATACATCTATCTAGTAGAATCACTAGTATTTATGCTTGTCAAAATCTTTTATACTGAGAAATTGGTGAGGTAATGAAGTTTGTGTGATGATATCTAAGCTTTTGCATCAGCCTTTTTCCATTCTTTTCATTTAAGATCACATGACATGTGCATCTTGTTTCGTAGTTGATATGTTAAGTTAGACAGTTCATATAACTTCTTTGACTTGATTTGAAGTGTCAGTTGGATTAAAGGAATTTATAAGCTCAGTAGTTGAATCAACTTGTGAAAGACAAAAAGAAAGAAAAATAAACCTTCTGATTTGATAACCATGAATTGTGTTGTGAGAGAATCATAAGGGAAGGATTTGAGTTTCGTTAAACCATGTTTCGGGCTTAGTATTCAGTATCTATTGTGATAATGAATGATTAAATGGTATGGTGTCTATTGTAACTTGTCTTGCTTTCATTTCAGGAAGGTTATACATCATGGTCAATGCCACGAAAGGAGTTTTTATTTCCTGGTAACTTGCAATTTTCTTTCTTCCTGCATTCCTATTTGAAATTTTTCCCCATGTACTATATTGTTTGAAAATGGCATAATTGAAGACTGCAATAAGCCAAATATTCAATTTCTCTTTTTACAAAGCTTTAAAGCTAGCAATTTTATCTGCAATTGTTGGAACCTCTAAAGTAACTGTTAGGCCTAGAAAACTTTTTGTCCTATGTTTTGTTTCACAGTTGTCTATATTTCTCTTTTCGACACACAAACAGTCACTAATGGCATCAAACTTCAAGCAGTAGTCTTGATTTACTTTAAATTAGTTTTTACTTTCGGATCTGTATTCCTTCTGTTATATGCATAAAAGAATAACTAGCAATATTTCCTTGTGCAGTGACATACCTATGGCACAATATATCATCAATATGAATGCTTCAATGCCTGCATCTGATAAGTTCATAATACATATCTTGGATAATACCCACATGTTTGTCCAACCTCATGTTGAGCAAATGATACGAAGTCAAATCGCCAAGTTTAGAGAAGACAACACATATGTCAAGCCTAATTGATGTTGATTAGTGGCTTCTTTCTTTAAGATCCTTTTTTGTATCCAAAGTTCTCCCAGTTGGCAGGAACAAATGAAATATTATTAGTTATTAATTGGTTCCCCTCTCTGAAAATAATGCTCAGTTGTTCTCCCTCCCAACTCTCTTTGTTCTCAACTACATTAGATTTAATATTGCCCAATTTATTTTCGTGTCTCAATACATTTTGATTAAAGTCCAAGCCAAAGGATAGCCTAGCGGCAGTTACAGAGGGTCTCAAAACGCAAAAGGACAATACATCCAAGCACCGTAAGATCAACATAAGACCAGACAGCTTACTCTAAAATACTCAAAATAAACATAATTCTAATTTCAAATGGAACTCACTCATCCCTCGTCATAAAATTTTTTATCAGAATATTTTCTTAAAATTTATTAACAAGTATTAATTATTTTGTTTACTCAAACACATCTTAAAGAGTTTTATGTGATGCTAGTTTTTATAATTAGTTTACTTTAAGGAGTTTATGTGATGCTTGTTCTTATAAATAATTTACTTTTAATCTAAAAACAAATTCTTGTTTATCGAAATAAGGATGATACTTGCACATTTTCATATACGGGGAACAAAATAGAGACATTATTTAGATACTAATAGCAAACTTTTATTATGCATTAACAGAAGGTTTTCTTAACCAAACCAAATCTACTCGTATATTTGAAATACACAAACCAATCTATGGATCGTGCAGAGCATTACAAATCACTCTTGGATAGTATACTTGGGGTAGAATGTTCCTCTCATGGTAGAGCAGGGTTAAGGGTTGCTTTGTTGCTCTGTTACTTCATTTGATGTACTTTTCATATAATGCCTATATTTCTGCCAATCAATATTGCAGTCACAAATGGAAATAATGTTAATTAATTTTTCATTGGGTTAAGTTGTAAAAATATGTATCTGCCTCATAACCAATTCCAATTATGGAAAATCAAATGCACACAGAAACAAGAACTAACCTTCAAATGACAAGCAATATTCTCTCATGTCAAATAGGGATATCCATCACTTCAAGAATTTTCTTTGCCACAGCCAAAAATGATTAAAAGAATCAGATTATGCCTTGTACAAGAATCAGAAAACCACCAAGGAATTTGTATTTCACGTGTTGCAGGGATGATAAGAATGCTCCGATTCACCAACAAGAATCTCGACAGATTGGAAGATAGTGCTTGGAAATGAAAATAGGGAGAATGGTAAAAGTAGAAGAACCAAATTCAGAATTATCATTCTCCTTTTTTTTTTTTTTTTTTTCCTTTTTCCTATCAGTATCTTTCAATCTGCCAAGATTCTTGCATGCACTAAAGGCGTTCCTAGCAGCATGTGTTCGCATGTTTTTTAACTGAATCACATGCAAAGTCTTAATCCAATAATCACATTGCACTTGATAAGTAAATCAAGTTCAAAACTTATACACTAAAGATTACAGAACAAGTTTAATTACACACTAATAACAGAAATTTCCTTCTTGACATGCTGAAGGAATTCATGGCCATCCATATTTAGCATGTGAAGCTCCATGAGTATCACATCAGTGCAACCTTTTCTTTCCATCGCAAGATTCAAAGCAAATGGAGATTTAGTGCATGTGACAACTGCACACAACATTGAAACTATATCATTAACAAAAAAAAAAAAAAAGATTAAATCTTTGTCCAAGAAATAGTGAACAATTAAATATGATGTATGTAACCTTGATATTGGAGTGGACTACATATTTGCTTAATGAATTCAATAACCGTGGGGTCATGACCAATTGCAAGAACCCTAAGACCTGAGAATTGAGAAGCCTCAGAGAGAATTTGGCCATTACTCATTAGTATCGGTATGAGTGACACTAGTGAACAAGGGACAAAATTCTGTACCGGAAGGTCCCTATCGGTCACGTTGACCAACACGTGTCATTTCGTCAGACACCCATGCATAGCCACGTACAAGCATCATCATCAACATCGGCTCGGCATGAGGCCGAGAACCGACATCAGTCTGGTTAATGCAAATATGGACCATCATCATTCATCGAGTCGGCTCGGTCAGGTGCCGTGCCGACATAGAACATACCGGAAGTATACAGGCTGCCGTGTACGGACTGGACGGTTCGGTCATTTGCCGCTCCGACTAGTATTGATTAGACGGCTCGGCCTCTTGCCGAAGGGTTAGGCGAGTCATAACAAGTAATCACAGTCAAGAAAGGTAAGTACATGATTAAAGCCTAAACGACCAATTAGTACCGTATTACCTAATTTGGTAAACATCTGATAGGGCCCATCACGCTCAGGCCCATGTCAGATGCTATAAATAGGTCACACGTAACAAGGTATGTCACTGTTCATTTTTAACCTAGATACTCGCGCATATACTGACTTGAGCGTCGGAGTACCTTTTGCAGGTACCTCCCCCCCCTTTTGAAGACATCGTTGGAGCTCTTATTCGGTCCCCTTTCACCAGGAAGAACAGGAGTGTGCCCTCAGACAGGTACAAATTCCATTTGAAACTTCTTGTGACTAAGCTTGTTCCGTAAATTCTTGTGAAACAAGTTGAAGAAAGCAAGTGAAAGAAATGGGAGAATGTGGTTCATTATATATTGGTGGTTAATTATTATTATTATTATTATTATTATTATTATTATTATTATTATTATTATTATTATTATTATTGTTGTTGTTGTTATTATCGGAAAAAAGAGTATTTATCTATCCTAAATTTTACTTATTTTATAAATAGACATTCTAAACTTTAATTTTATCTTAATTAATTTTTAATTTTTGTCTTATTTGTAAATAGACATTATAAACTTTAATTTTGTTTTAATTATACATTAAATTTATTTATTTTGTAAATAAATATTTTTAACTTTAATTTCATTCTAATTTATACTTATCATTTAACGTTTTTACACAATTTTTTTAAGGCTTAATTGTTCTTTGTATTCCCAAAGTTCAACTTTTTGCCTAATTTTGTCCCAAGTTTTTTTTTTCCTCAAGAATCATGTCCCCAAATTTTTAAATTTTAGTAATTTTATTCTCTCATCAATTGTCTGTCAAAATATGGAATGTTGATGTGACATAATTCATTTTACAAATAGACATTCTAAACTTTAATTTTATCATAATTAATCCTTAAACTTTATTTTATTTGTAAATAGGCACTATAAACTTTAAATTTATTTCAATTAATCATTAAAACTTTACTTCTTTTGTAAATAAATACCTTCAACTTTAATTTCATTCTAATTTATATTTATCATTTATACATGTAGTTTTTTAAAGGCTTAATTAATTACACTTTATGCTCCCAAAGTCTAACTTTTTAAGAATTTTTTCTTCAAGTTTTTTTTCTCTCAAGAATTATGTCCTTAAATTTTTAGATTTTGACCATTTGTGTCTTTCTATCAGTTGCTCATCAAAATATTAATAGAATATTGACGTGACATGTCTAACGTGGATACATTTAATGAAGGAACATATATGACGGAGGCTTAGTTGCACTTTGTATCCTTGAACTTTCATTTTTCTGAGGAATGTTGCCCCCTAATAATTTTTCTTATGGTTTACACTCCAAACTTTTAAATTTTGGCAAATTGTGCCTTGTCGTCAATTGTTCATCAAAATACTAATATGAACAGTACCCTTTTTTTATAAAGCACATTCATACGATCCGATACATTTTTTAAGTGTAGAAATATATGCACTTAAAACTTATGTAAACGGTACTCATTTTCATAAATGTGAAACTAATGATTAAGTACTTCAATATATATTAAGCATGCAACTTGTATTCTTTAATTAATGTGAGATATACAAGATCTATACACTAAAAAAAGGATAATTAATTATTACACTAGTTGTTTAAAAGTCTAAGCATTGAGTTGCCACAATTCAATCACAAAATATAATCATATGATATGTATCATTTAGACAATTCATCCATTTCATATGTACTCTCACAGTTAGAAATATCCTACTTTTATTAGATAAATCTAGTGGAATCAATAACTTCAACTAAACTTTAATTTAATTAATCAAACAATATTCTAATATAAAATGATAACTTTGACTTTAAAATAACACTGCATTATAAGAAAAGTTTAAAACAAAAAGTTACAAAGATGAAAACAACACTTATGTCAATGTGTTCATACGAGAGTATTGTCAAGGTATATAAAATATTGTAAGGTATATTAAAAGGGTCATAATTTTATTAAGTCAAACTATCATTTTATATGACATGATTTACCACATCTAACTCTTCCATGAATAATTACTTATAATAATTTTACTAAGACATTTTTCTTCTACATTTAAATCCATTATTATAAAACAAATTTAATATTTTATCTTAAATATAATTATAATAATTTTGACAAGTAAATTTAAAATATATTATTAATTGACATATTAAACATAAATAATTATTATACATATAGTGTTTTTTTAGAATTATTTAAATTTTAAAATTCAACTTTTGATATAATACACTCGTATCATATTCGTGACCACTAAAAATATTATCCAAATAATATTCAAAAACTATTCTTTTAATGTATAAATATGTTTCAAGTTTCTTAATAAAGTTCTTTCTTTTATATATATGGATAGAAATTGAATTTTATAAATATAATTAAAAGGAATTAATTATTTATTAATCATATTCGATTAGATTGTTGGAATTATTTTTCTTTGTGATCTTATAAAACAATTTTTTTTTCTCTCAATATAAGTAAAAGAGTATTCAAGAAATTATTGAACCACACTTTTATATAGAAATTAGTTAATTGATCGTGAAGTCGTAGGAGTCGTGTTATTTTTAAGCATTAGTCAAAATGATTTGCAATATAGTATTGTAATTTTATTTTTCTTATGATAGTAAGTAAAATGCCCACATGTAAAACTCAAATGAAGTTATATTTGCAAGGTCCAACAAGCATAATCTCAAAAGACGAATACGAAATATCTAACAATATAAAATACGAAGAAAAAAAAAAGTATTTTAGCTCTCATAATTTTATCTATTTTGTAAATAGACACCACAAATTTTAATTTATCTTAATTAATTTTTAAACTTAGCCTTATTAATAAATAGACATTGAGAACCATAATTTTGTTATAATTGATCTATAAACTTTATTATTTTTACAAATAAATAATTTGATTTCAATTTTATGTCAATTAATTCTATTTTTATAAATAGTCGCTTATATTATATTAGGATTAAATCAACTCATATATATTAAACACAAGTTTCTTTCTTGCACGAAAGCAATTTTGTGAGTTTTTCTTTTTTATGAAAGAGTTTGTAAGAGAAATTTTTAACTTTTTATCTACTTTAATTTTTATTTATCATAGTTATTTATGAATTAAATTTTAATATTTTTAAAATAAATTATTAATAAATAAAAATAATATTATGATATAATATAAATTATCTATCATAGATCTAAAATATAACTTATATACTTTAAAATATTTATTTATACAAATCTAAATATAATTTATATATTCAAACATAGTATTTATTTGTATATATAATTTATAATAAATTTTAGTTATAAATAATAAACATTTATATGTGTCTAATACTAGCTAGTAAGATAAAAGAAATATCAATTATTTATTTATTTTAAATCACATTTATTGGATAATTTTTTTGGCATATATAATAATTTTATTTTCACACACACATTAAAATATCATATAATTTAGAATTAAAAAATTAAATAAAGACCATTTTATTGTTTTTATCATTCTTTTTTTTTTTTGTCTTTATAAACTTATATTTTTATTATATTCAAAAAATAGTTGTAAAAAAATAAAAAAAAATTATTGATATTTAAGATAAATAATTTAATTTGAAATTGATAATAAAAAAAATATTTGTAAAAATAATAAATTACAAGTGTCAATATCAATTAAAATAGAATTAAAGTTGAGGATACTTATTTATAAAAGAAATATAGCTTAAAGACTAATTAAAATAAAATTAAAATTTAATGTTTATTTACAAGTAAGATAAAATTTAAAGATCGATCAAGATAAAATTAAAGTTTATAGGGTCTATTTATAAATAAATAAATAAAGTTTAAGACGACTGGATATTTTTTCCCTATAAGTTAATTGAACAATAATTTGACATGAAATAATTATTTTGGTAGGGGTGATCAGGTGTTGGTTTAGATTAACCTCTTACTTACCCAAACTGATAAAAATAGCTGGATTAAATTAGTGTAATTTTTTCTTATTAATATCAAACCAAACCTTCATGATTAATAACGAGTTGCATTGGGTCTACAGGAAAATATATATTTTAAAACATTTAAGACTATGTTTTTCCTAACCATATTCTCACAATATTTTGATATGACTTTCGAATTGTGTTATATTGTGTATGTATTTTGATATTTTCCTTTCACTATATATATATATATAGAGAGATAAAACTTACTTATTTATTTATTAAAAATAGATGAAACTTTAATGCTGATTATAATCGTATATTACTTATTTATTTAAAGTACATGAGATTTAGTATATTTTATATACATAATGCATAAAATTTAATTTTACCACAATTTTTAAATATAAGCAAGTAAACCAAATAGTTTAATTTGTAACATACATACATGTAAATTAAGTTTTGCGCTCATTAAAAAAGTATATAATCTCTAAATAATAACTTACAATCATAATAAAAATAAAAATAATAATGATAAACGCAATCTGAATTAATATGGTTTTTGTTGATCGATAACTTTCTAGGAGGGAAATTGTTTCGACTTCAACTAGGCTCAGAGAAGGAGAGTTACGATGTATTTGATTTACAGAGGGGAGGAAGAAAAAAGGAAGACCATTTTTTGGTTAGCAAGAGAAGGGATAAACTTCAATGCAATTCAGTTGGCATAATTCAAGAATTATAAATTACTTTCCCTCCCCATCTCTTTCATTTCCTTCCAACTACACACAGAAAATGAGCCAATAGCACCAACACCAACTATAATATCAGTCTAATCTCCAAACTCTTTCCGGGAACACATCTCTAAGAGTCCAAAACAAAGAGGCACAAAAAGCTCATCCAACATTAGCACACTCAAAATACAATACTGAAACTATATGCGAGGGAAAACTATGCCTTGCCTTTCCCAGTCTGAAGAGATTGAATCCTTTGTTGCAATTTTAATATCTGCAAGGATGACAAAACAAATATACGACATCAGTTATTGATAGCCTTCATCGCTAAAGGAATCCTTTACCACGTAGACCTTAACATATCCATTCAAGCGAGGGACACATACAAAAGCGAAAATATACAACATAACGTGTTTTCTGCTCTCTTCACAAGCAAAGATTTTATCTATTAAAATAATTACATGCATACTTATTTAATTTTAAGTTATCGTGCACGGTCTACAAGTAATGGGGTTGGAATTAAGACTCCCCTAGGTAAGACAGAGGGTCATGGAGGCCTATTTTTGGGAATAAACTCCATGTATCTTCCACAAAAGAGCAATTCTGCTTGAGTCAGGTATGACAACTATGAACAAAAAAACTCTTTTGTGAAGTATTAACACAGAACTCAAACTCAAGACCATTGATAAAGTTAAAACAATCACATGCGAATTGATCCACTTGCTCAATGGTACTAGAGGCCTATTGATCTCTAGGATCCAGCAAATATTATTATGTAAATCTTTTCCAGGATATCTTTTACATAGGAAGAATTGTATCTAGTCTTGTAACTGATTTAAATATTAATCATAAATGTTTGTTTCGGAGAATAGCAACATTAACATATGATATTATTGATCAAATTTTCTTAATTACTTAAAACCATATAGTAATAAGTAAATGTTAGCTATAAGACTACATAACAATGAATGATCAATTTTTCTAAATTTGATATGCATAATCATCAAGAGATCACATCACATAATTTAACAACTGAATTTATGAATTCTGTATTTTTTTTTTAAAGTTACTAAGAGGAGTAAATGTCGAAAACTTATTTCTGCAGTAAGTTGATCCCTTCCCTAGTAATAAATACATTTTTAAAATAAATCAAAATTTGAAATTTGGATATTGAAAAGGCATGCAACTTATCTTCATCAAATATCATATTCAATGACAAAATCCATGTAAAAGTTGAAAACAAAGCTAAAAAAGTAAGCAAGGAGAAGTTACAAACCGTATCTTTCTTGCTATTCTGTTTCTCTTCCAAATCTTGAACCGTGGCATCAAGACGCTTCCTGATACACAGAGACCACTTACATTTGTGATGACAAAAAAATTATAAAATTCAAAAGATGCCAAAACCAACACAACCATAAAATGAAAAAAGGACAAGAAAAAAGTAAACCAAGTGGCAACAACAAAACAGTATCAGAAATCAAGGGAAGAGAGGAGACAGATACAAGATGTAGGTAGATGTAATGTGCCTGTCCATGTCATAAACACTTCGTAAAATTTTGTGGATGTTCTCCATAGCGTAACACAACCTACTCTATTATTTGGGCTTGGGACCAGCTAAGTAAAGAGTTGGAATAAAGCAGGAAATACGTAGAATGTTCAAAATATACCATTGGTACCTAGATACTCCAAGCACAATCCACTAATGGTATTTCATGCAGAATTTTTTCAGTATAGCATTGAATTTAGATATTGAAACATGCCCAGACAGTTCTAATCAAAGCATGAAGTAACCAATATATACATTTGGAAGGCAATAGTAAAATAACAACTCAGGAAAGTTTCAGAGGGAAACTAATCTATAAGTGTTGGGATGGAAACTTCATGTCAAAGCAGATTAAGTTTGCAGATTCACTGGCAGGCAACAATGACTTTACATCCAAAATATCCTATGAGAATTATTACCTATGGGTAGTAAAAAAGGAATTCTAAACCCAAATGGATATAACTACATCAAGCAATACAAAGCAGTTTATTGTCAAAGGTGACAAAATCAATATCAAGTCAATATGCATTATTAAGGAACAACATGAAGAAGTCAAACTCTATTTGGAATACTACAAAGAAGGATGAAGGTTAGCTCTGGCATAACATTAAGGTTGCTGCCTTGAGACTAGTTTGTCATAGCTTCTAGTCAAACAACCTCTCCACAAAGGTAACACTGAGTACATTTGACTCTTCCTAGGCCTCATATCATAATGGTGGTAGTCTTGTACTCTTGTCCAACATTGTTGAAATCACACATCAACTTGTTGGATTGTACGATCTAACAATTCTTTTTCTCTCCTGCGAGTAGTGCCCAGCCAAATTGCTTCCATGAATGGACCACTCCAGATCTTCACTCCAAGGTGCTGAATTATCAGAGCAGCACTCCAAAAACAAGCCACAGGTGCAACTGTTGCGTGCCCTAATGCTGCATGAACCTTTCCTAAAAAACTTGGTCTACTCTCTCTGCCTCTGGTTCTCCCTCTTTACCCTAAGTCCCTAACTGACTGGCCCTTTCTTCCCTCTTTGTTTGTTGTTGGTGCACTGTTACCCCAGTTCCCTGTTGTTGGGCTGGTGCCAATGGTGCGTGCTATTTTCTTAAGGAAAATGGCAAGTGACAATGCTAGTGGGTTTTTTGGCAGTGGTAAAATGTTGAAAAATACTCCTAGAAACAGGTAGAAGTGGGAAGGAAAAGTGGAGTCTCAGTTGATGGCTATGTTGTATGGGTTCTCCTACAGTCATGCCGTACACGTAACAGGTACATATTCATACCTTGTATGCGTTGGGTACTTGTGAGTAAAAGGCAAAGCGTTAACTAATATCCAAAAAAGTGTGTATATATAACTAGGTCATTTTTAATCTCAAAATTCTCCCTCGAAAGAAAATATGACAAGCCAAGGGAGAATGAGCAAGACAGACAGTGGTGCATGATAGCAACATATTATAACTTAATGATTAAACACATCCATGATAAGCTAATCACCAATTAGATGAATTAAGAGAGAGAGAGAGAGCTTACAATTCTGCAGAGATGTATTCAATTCTCTTGCGGACATTTGCATTGGCCTCAGCCAAATCTTGCTTAACAAGTACTGGCCCAATCAACTTATAAACGTTCGCGTCTTCTTTCAATAAATCCAGTTCCTTATTAAAACAAGCACGCCCACACAATCAGTGAACATAGGCATAGAACATGAATTATAAACAACAAGTAATAAATAAAATTAAAAAAAAAACGACTTTATTTCCACAAGAAGAAAAAGGTACCTTAAGGACGAGCTCGTTCTCGCCAAGCTGGACCGTGTACTTCTTTCTCATTTGATGGTTCTTCGCAATTTCTGCAAGAAGAAAAAAGGGAAATTAGTTGCAGGGATTAGAAAGGTGCGAATAAATAGAATAATAATAGAAAGGGGGGAATAGTAAGGCAACCCTTTTGAAGCTTGCTGAGATCATTGGCTTTGTTCTCCAATTCGCGTTGAAGATCTTTGAGGTTCGAAGAACTCATCGTGTTTCTCACCTTCTTCGCTCGCACTTGTGCACACCAAATCACCCATTGCTACTGCTTTTCTTCTTCTTTTTGTTGGGTCGGCCCAAACCTATATCCAGACCAGCCCAATCAACCCACTTGATTCTCTCGTAAATTAAAAACCTCATATACATATAATAATTCATATATTAGTAATATACTTTTTTCTTTCAATCTAAGACTTTGTTTTTATACATATAATATATTTATTTCTTTCAATCTAAGATTTTATTTTTAAAGAAAAATGCTAGTATTTTATACGAACAAAATTCAATAGGTAAAATTTATGATTGTATTAAAAAATTGTTAATATCTTAAAATTAAAGTAAATATATGACAGATTAATATAACACTTCTTTATACTATTTAATGAAATGATTTATTTTTTGTTATAAAAAATATTATTAACAAAATTAAATTCAATGAAAGATTCTCGTGCAATGTAATTAAGTCAAGTAAATTTGATATAAAAAAATTAAATCTAAAAAATTATATTTAACGTGAAGTTACACATTATGACTTTTATATTAAACGTAAAACGTGAAAGCAAACACGCACTATATTTATCATATGAAAAAAGCACAAATTTTTGTTTTGAATGAAACCTGAGTCTTTAAGAAAAGTTTTGGTTTTAAATTTTGTAGATGACAAATATAATTAAGAAAAAATACTCGTAATAAATATCAAAACACCATTTCCTAGGTGCATGGTAGCTGCTGGTATTAGTCAATATCAACCTTTACTTTCTTGGTGTAATGTTTCACTGAACTTAGAGGACGTTTGGTTATACAATTTTTGGAAAATCACGTTTTACAAGAATCTTATTTTCAAAATGACAAACTAAAATAGAGAAATCAACATTTTTAATATCAACTTTTTTAAGAAGTAAAAACTTTTTACATACTAAGTTACTAACTATCTTTTTCAAGAATGGGTTGAAATAGCCTTGTCTTTTTTGTTTTTCTTCTTCTGAAAAAAAAATTATATATATAAATTAGAATATTAATATTTAACAATATTATTTTATAGATTATTATTTAGCAGTAAGGTTTTAAACTATTTTTTAACAACAGATTTTATAAAAAAAAAATCTTAACATTTTATCTCTATTAGTTTGTCATTTTTATTTTTATTTATAATTTTGAGTCGTGCAATTCACAATATAATTTTTTTATATAACAAAAAATTATAATAAATATCTAATTTTGAATATATAAACTATATTATATTATAACTACTCAATATTTTTATTATATAAATAATATTTTAAATTTATGATATATAATTTACATTACAATACAAGATTATTTTTTTTCTTAATATTTTAAAATTAAAAATAAATTTAAAAATAAAATAATATATTTAAAAGATAAAACATTAAAAATTAATTAAAAAAATGACTAAATTTTTTTTAACATAATTATTTTAATATACTGTGAGAATAGAAATAATGTTTAATATATATTTTTCTTTCAAAAACTGCATTCTGTTTTCCCACAGAATCTTAAGAAGGAAGACATTGAGAACCTGAATCGTATATATTACTGTGTGCGGTATATAAATATAGAGCATGGCAGTCAAAAGCATATAATATAAGAAACATAATGGTATCTTAAGAAGTAGTAAGCACAAGTAACCAGAAAATTAGCAAATGCTTATCTTCTCTCTCTTACATTTTTTTTAATTAATTGTTCATTGTAATCCCCGTCTTACATTTTTTAGCCACAAAAAAATTTAAGTTTATCAAACCTATACGACAATAGTATAAAATTATGTAGTGCGCAAAACACATACAGAGATATTGTAGATCCAATGTACAATACTATTTGATTTGAATGAACCAAACTGTTATTTCAACCACACACATAAATTTGTTTTGCAATTAACCTTTAGTTAAGATTTGTCTTTTTTCTTTATTTTTAACATAATATTCTAAAATCGATAATTAAGAATTAATATGTGCTAATAAAATTTAACTTTCATCGATGAAATATTATATTAATGATTAAGTTTTAACTTTTATACATAATATGACATTTAAAAATAAAAAAATCATGTAAATATAATCTATTAATAAAATAAATATTAATCTCTCTTTAAAATATATACAAACAATAATATTGTATAAAACAAAAATAATACACAGAATAACTAAGATGAATATTTTTTGAGCAGCAGTGGAGTCCTCTTGATGGTAGGGAAATGTGGGATGATATTTGTGTAGGGATGATTTGATTTGACGGTGGCATGATGAGATGATGTTGTTTGGCTGTTTGTTTGTCATGCGCTGATACCAAATGGAATTTATTTCCAGATATGCATTCTCCGCCAAGTCATAAAAATTAAAATAAATATCTTCTTCCTACTATGACGTGGTCGGAATTCACTTCCAGATATTTTTTCTTCTTCAAAATATCATCTCAGTGTTCCCCACGTTGACTCCATTCCCCTTCCCTTTCGCCCCTCCTTTTCCTCTCAAACTACCATTCTGCCACCTCTCTCGTTGCCCTAATATTTGCCTCTCACCAGGGCATTTCTGTCATAACACTCCCACATCTTTAATATTGTCAGAGAACCGAACTAGTTTTAGTTTGAGTTTGTGTTTATGTTTGTGTTTGTGTTTGTGTTTGTGCACACAAGAGAGAGAGAAAGAGAGAGACATGGCCATGGCTAAAGAGAAAGACGAGGTTCACAACACTGGCAAGCGGTTGAAATGCATGAGGAATCAACAGCAACAAGAAGATGAAGTTGTTGAAGAGGAAGACACTGAGCTTCCTCTCAAACCAGGATTGTTCTTCTACCCCACAACCCCCACTTCCTTTGTTGTTTCTGATGCTCTTGAACCCGATTTTCCGATCATATATGTTAACAAGGTCTTCGAAATCTCCACCGGATATCGTGCTGACGAGGCCCTTGGTCGCAACTGGTTAGTAAAAATTTTCTCCTTTTCTCTCTTCCCAATCTGGGGTTTCGCTGTTCCTTCAGATCTGTGCTCAAGTTCAGATTTTGGATGTTTTTCATTGTGTCGTTTAGTTGTCTGATGTAGGAAAGGTGTCCAGTGCAAAACTACATTTTACCTGAATTATGAAATTTTATTCCACTACCGCATTCTTCTTGTTTCTCAATTTTTGGTTTTATTTAAAAAAAAATGAAAAATAGAACTTTATATGGATTATCATCTCTTCGGCTAGTCCTTCAATTGCCTCTGAATAAGGTTTTGATCGGAGGATCTTAATTCAAGATGTGGCTTTTGTTTTTATGTAAATCTTTATTCCAGTTCATTTCTTATTTCTGTAAATTCCCCAGATTGATTTCCTTTATATATACTGATTTGAGTCATTTTTAGTAAAAAGTACTAATAATTGCTTGGAATTTATCTTGTTCCAGTCGGTTCTTACAGTATAGAGATCCACGAGCTCAGAGGCGGCACCCTTTGGTGGATCCTGTTGTTGTGTCTGAGATTAGAAGATGTCTTGAGGAAGGTGTTGAGTTCCAAGGCGAGCTTCTGAATTTCCGAAAGGATGGTACTCCTTTGGTGAACAGACTGAGGCTTGCACCAATTCATGATGATGATGGAACTGTGACACACGTAATAGGTATCCAACTCTTTTCTGAGGCAAACATAGATCTTAACCGTGTCTCGTATCCAGTTTTCAAAGAGACTTGCAATCAAGAGTTTGATAAGAGCGGTAAATATTCTACCAAGAGTGGACAATCATTGTACAGTCAGCACCAAGAGATGTGTGGCATTCTTCAGCTTTCTGATGAGGTCTTGGCTCACAACATTTTGTCACGCTTGACACCAAGGGATGTCGCATCCATTGGCTCTGTGTGCAGGAGGATTCGTCAATTAACGAAGAATGAGCATGTGAGGAAGATGGTATGTCAAAATGCTTGGGGCAAAGAAGTGACCGGCACATTGGAACTGATGACCAAGAAGTTAGGATGGGGCCGTCTGACTCGGGAGCTTACTACTCTCGAGGCTGTTTGTTGGAGGAAACTGACAGTTGGAGGCGCAGTGGAGCCTTCGCGCTGCAATTTCAGTGCTTGTGCTGCCGGTAACAGGCTTGTATTGTTTGGAGGTGAAGGAGTGGATATGCAGCCAATGGATGACACTTTTGTTCTAAATCTTGATGCTAAGAATCCAGAATGGCGCAGGGTTAGCGTGAAATCATCCCCACCGGGGCGGTGGGGCCACACGCTCTCATGCTTGAATGGTTCTTGGTTGGTGGTTTTTGGTGGATGTGGCAGGCAAGGACTGCTCAATGATGTGTTTGTGCTTGATTTGGATGCTCAACAGCCAACATGGAGGGAAGTCTGTGGCGGAACGCCGCCACTTCCTAGATCATGGCACAGCTCTTGCACAATTGAAGGGTCCAAATTGGTTGTCTCCGGCGGGTGCACCGATGCAGGTGTGCTTCTTAGCGACACATATTTGCTGGACCTCACCACAGATAATCCAACATGGAGGGAAATTCCAACTTCCTGGGCACCTCCTTCTAGGTTGGGACACTCTCTCTCAGTCTATGGGAGGACTAAGATTCTCATGTTTGGTGGACTTGCAAAGAGTGGACACTTGAGGCTAAGATCAGGTGAGGCTTATACAATTGACTTGGAAGATGAACAACCACAATGGAGGCAACTAGAGTATAGTGCATTCACAGGGTTGGCTAGTCAAAGTGCTGTAGTTCCTCCTCCTAGGCTGGACCATGTTGCTGTGAGCATGCCTTGTGGGAGGATCATTATATTTGGAGGTTCAATTGCTGGTCTTCACTCACCATCTCAGCTATTTCTGTTGGACCCTTCTGAAGAGAAACCATCGTGGAGGATCCTCAATGTTCCAGGGCAACCACCAAAATTTGCTTGGGGTCATAGCACTTGTGTGGTTGGAGGGACGAGGGTGTTGGTGTTGGGTGGACACACTGGGGAGGAATGGATACTCAATGAGTTGCATGAGTTGTGCTTGGCAAGTCGACAAGACTCTGACCTGTGAAGGGCATCTTCTCTCGAGACAAGATTTTGGTTGCAAAAAACAAAGGTTTTGGGTGGGTTTTCTTTCGCAGTTTGGTTTTGTATATGAACTATTATATGATTGTTATATGACATGACGTGTGTTTTACCAATGTTTTTGAATGTGATGTCATCTGGCTTATCTACCGTCTATGACACTAGGAAACAAATCTCTGTACATCAAAGAGTTAGGCTGTTGTATCATCCCTCATTTTCTTTTACAATTAGTTTTGTCAATAATTAATTCTTTTATTATTATGTTTTTATATCAACTCTGATTCAAACAAAAGGTTAATAATCATGACAAAAACAGCGGGTAGATGCGAAAAGAAATTCAAGGAAATATAATTATGTGGAATAAAAGTTAATAAACGCTCAAAGCCTATACAGTAAAGTATCGGAATTTATATATGGTACTTAATTTACAAATATGAGTTTCCATTTATTAGTGTACGGTGTCGAATACAGAAGTGAATTAATATCTTTAGAGACGTATAGTTTCAATGCGGCTGATTTCGGGTAATTTTTCAGCAATTAAATTACTTGCCTTTATAGATGTATACATTTCTGTTACGTTATTGAATAAATCTAAAAATTTATTCTATTTTTCAATTAGGTCCTATTTAATTATAAAATTTTGTAACCAAGTCTGAAAATATATAACGACTTCACAACACTTAGAATGCAAATGATTATATATATTTATTAATATAATATAGTTTACACGTGTAAAAAACATTTACAATACAGTTTACATGGCCATTATTCAAAAGTGTGTAATTTAACTTTGGATAAAATATATTTGAGTAAATGGTCAAATTAATTTCTCAAATAAGTAATGGATTGGTATTTTAAATATTTCTTATGAATTTTATTAAAATCAAGACTAAATTGAAAAGTATCATATAATTTAAGAGATTAGTTTAACCATTTACTTAAATATATTTTTAGTCCTTCAAAATATTTTAAAATGCTGATTTTAATCCGTATAAAATCTTAATGTTTGTAGATCTTGTATGTATTAAAAGTGATGTAATTTAGTCCTTTAATAAGAACTAGAAATATGTACTCTAAGATAAATGTATGAACTAAAAATATATTAAATTTATATAAGGTCTAAAATTAACAGCAAATTTGAGGGTTAAAATCGTATTTTGTCCTTTAATTTTTATTTCAATTGCAAAGGGTCACTCAGTAAAAGCATTTATTAAAACATTTAATAAAACTATGAAGACATATATGCTATCCATTTTTATCCTACTATCTGCTAAATTATCGCTATGCTATGCAAATGGTCACCTCGATTATAGTTGTGGCAAAGATTGTTAAACTTCGATGCCTCTAATCCAAGCTTGTTGACATATAGCAGAGACACAAAATTAAGTGACTAACAAAATGAGTCATTCAAAAATAATCAATATGGTCGAATAAACCAAACATTTTTAACCAACAACTAGTAAGTTACATAAAATCACAACATAGACCTCGGATGCTTTATATACTGGGCCAAAAGAATTACACGCAAGTGCGAATTCAACTTCTTGCCATAATCGTAGACTTTTCTGTTCGTGTTTGCTTAAAAAATAGAAGAAAAAATATAAAATCTATAACAAATCTTCCATGCAACGTCTGTTGCAAACTCTGGGATGTCATTATTTCCATGCCACGGAGTCAATATCATCCCTAGCTTGCTTGTATAATTCAAGCCTTTTAGCTATTTGATTTCTCCTTTCCATAAGGGCTGGGTCTTCATCTAACATAGCACCCAATTTCTCCTTCTGCATAATTAATAGCTCCCGCAATCAGTTATAATTACCACATAAAATTGCAATATACATGTGCTTCATTCAAATTCTATAAACCAACAAGCGAAACAAATCCCTAATATTGTGTCTCACAATCTTGCTTAAACACTCTTTACAAGGGAAGTACAGGCTTTCTATTGTGTTTTCCATAAAACCTTTGTTAATTTGCTTATTCATAGTAACTTCCACCAGACTTCCTGCATATGTATAGTAAAAAAACACAGCCACAGGGAGCCTAACAAACAGACTGTCCCCAAATTCAAAGCCAATATCTTTTCACGTTTGTATTTTTATCAATAATTTCAGAAACATAATCCAACAGTATAGTTATTACTTATTAGTTATATTCACCATATCCAGCATTTGTTACACGTACTTTATGATATTGACCAAAATAAATAATCATTTCGTAAGCTTACTATGATACTCGGACCAAGATTATAAAGTTTTCCATGGACATAATTTAAATATACGTAAATTCACACAAGCACAACGTAATTATAAAAAACCATACCTCCTTCCTCCCAACTTGAACGTAAAAGTGGTTTAACAATGATCTCTTCGCCTCTCTAACTTGACAATAAACCACGGCCTTTGGTATAGTATTCTTAAGGGTATCGCAAACCATATTGATATAGGAACTTACATTTGATCCTGTAACAAGGAACATTATATAATGTTTAACTATACAGATTTGTAAAAACAGTGTCGAAGCAAAATCTAAATTAAGTGAGATTATGACATTTAAATATAAACCCTCATTTAAAAAGAGATGCATAAGAATAGAACTTAAATGCATCTCACTCTTTATTTTATACGAACAAAAAAAATTTACACAAGATGTGAAAGAACAGGAATGTACACATTTCCCCCAAAAGTTTTAACTTTTTCAAACACAATTTTTAATATTTTAATGTAAATGAGGTTATATATATATATATTTTAGATGATTTATTTTTTTAATTGAAAACGAGACATGCTGGCCAAAGATTAGAGAAAAAAAAAAAAGTTCCCACATATTGCTCACAAACAAAATAACCTTTACTTTCAATAAAAGACAAGGTTTTAAATACTTCAATAAAATGACGGTTTCTAGAAGCTCGTCGAAACCAGTATTGAAGTCGTAGAATAAAAAATAATATACTTGTAAAAGTTACAATGTTATTTATACTTGTTGCGAAAGGGCTCAAAGAAAAATATGTACCAATTTTGCGCAGGTGATTGTCAGTATAACTGTCCATATTGGGGGGAGGTCCCGGAGGACCATTCCGATTTGGTGGTCCATTTGGATTCTTTTCTGGTTCAAAATGAATCTTCCTGAAAAATTCCACTGTTAGATAGCTAGACTCCATATCAACCAACCGTAGAACTGTCTTCCTGCTTTCATCTCGGAACTTTTCCAGAGCCTCATTTGCAGCAGTTGCTATATCACTTGAAAGTGTTGGAAATCTTTTTAGTTCCTACATGTCACGAAGTACCAACTGTAAGATTTAATTCTCCTCCCGAGGGTTTTTTCCCCATGCAAATTCACCTAAACTCCAAATCCTAAAGTTAATGTTCGGAAGGTACTATTCACATTTCACAGGCCAGGAACAGCACCTTACATCAGTAATTTAGCGCTGAGATGTAGTACTAATATCCTGCATTATTAGCCTTTGAACAAACACTATTTTTTTCACAGCCGAAACCCTAGATGTGAAATAAGAACAGGCACATCCAACTAGCATGTTGTTTATTTTGATATAATGACTTGTCTAAAAAGAGTTGAATCAAATTAAACATTGATTTACCTCAGTTTCTGCAATTGACTTCCGCACAAGTTCCTTTAAAACAAAGTGGACCTGTGGAATAGAAGAAAGCATGTAATTTATAAATGGAAAGAACAAAACCATTCCTTGTGGAGTGATTTTAATACAAAAAAAAGAAGAACAACAAACACTTATTACAGAAATGTAAATTAGGAAAACCATTCCTTGTGGAATAAATTCTCTTTATTTTATTTCAATAAGAAAAAGAAAAGGAAACACACAAGTTAAACACCCATTGTGTAATAGACTAAGACTGAAGCCATCAGGATTTCAGCATGGAAAATGATCTATGATTAGAAAAAGATTCAGAAAGCAAAAAGAATTCCGAAGTCATGCAATTTCAGTTTTAACAAGAGTCTAGGTTAGGGTTGATGAGGGAGAAAAAAAAGGAAACTATAGATCCATTCACCATAGCATGCTTAATAAAAAAAATAGAAAGAAATACAGTATCTGTATCTATGAAGGGCTTCTTGCATCTAAACATTAAACAATCAAGTATTTCATATTAATATCTGGTACTTCCATAAGACCAAGAACAGGATTGACAGACTAAAACAAAATATAATAAAGTCAAGAAGATTACAGCATCCACAGAGGCTTCAGCTGGGCCTTTGAAATATCCAATAGACCCTTCAATGAGTCTTCTATAACCCTGCTCTGGAGCAATTAGATGGGGCTGATACCCATCAGCTTCTGTGACAACTCTTTGGACATTTTTTAAGGAAAGATGGCGATCAAAAGGGAGCTTTTTTAAAGCAGCCGGTAATTGGTGATCAAAAACTCCATATATCCGGTCACCACCAGCACGTCTGAAATAGAAGTTATTTGGTTAATCAAATAGATTAACTTTCTAAAAAGGTTGACAACATACAAAATAAAAAATAAAAAAAGAGTTGAATAAATTTCATGTTATGAAAAATAAATAAATTAATTAATTTAAAATATATATATACACACACACACAAGAGAAGCTAATTCTAGAGCTCAACAACAGCACTTACCCTCCATCCAAGTGTTCTTTAAATACTTTGTCAAATGCACGACACATCTCTAAAATAGTGTATAGTTGGGCCTACATTAACAAGTAGCACCACTAAAAACACTCAGAAATAGTTTTTTCAAATCAAAGATTAATTTCAGCAAGGTTTCAGTTCTGACCCCTGAGTCCACAGCAATTGGCCTGCCAATACGGTCCAACTCAGCATTAAGCTCGTCAATAGTCTTATTGATTAAGGCAATAATACTAGGTATCTTCTGCCTGATAACTTGCTCCAAATGCTGTAGTCATAAAGACCAGTGAAAGAAAGAAAATCACTCACTCATAGGAAGAATCAGAAATCCGTTGTAACAAGTTTAGAAATATATAAAAAATGTAACTGAAAAACGATATTTGAATTAAATAGAAATTGGGAATGGGAATACCTGAGATAGAAGCTTGGCAAGATATTCTGAGCCCATTTTATGTGCCAAATGTCCATATTCAGGACTTGTCTCAAAATATTCACGTTCCTTCCTACGAGCAGCCATCATGTCAACATTTCTATTAATATCAGCTTGTGAACGGTTCACAATTCCAACCCATGGATGCTGCAGCCTGTATTGCCTTCCCTCAAGAACCTTCAGGATTCACATAAAATAACTTCCGTCATTTTGTAACTTGCACACAACAATAAACTATATATAATCACATTTAAATGAATGGAAATCAATTTAAGTAACAGAACACCAAAACAGAAGATGGTTGCAGTTTTTAAGAAATCGTACATCAACTGCATTGGTTCCTTTATCCATAAGGTCAAGTTTGGTAACAACACCAAATGTTCTTTCACCTGAAAAAATATAAAAGAGAAGTTTTTTTCTAAATGAATGCTGGCCAAGAAAGTATGAGAAAAAAGAGAATTGGAAGAAACAACAACTACCCTTCACATAAACAGCCATACCTGATGGGTCAACTTCTCTTGCCATTTTTATGGCATCTGACGTGGCAATATCTTGATTTGCAGGAGAGATAGCTAAGATAATGCAGTTTGGCTTCACAATCAAAGAACTCGATTAGATCATTTACGATAAACATCAAGGTAATTTATAAGAACACACATAAACCACAAATTTGGCTGAAGTATATTAGAATTAGAAAGGTAGCTCAGTTTGCTTAAAATGGAATATATGAATCACAAGGTTAACAGTGGACGTTTGGTTGATTACAAGCAAATGGTGATGACAACTAATCCAAAAGCAAAATATTCTTATAAAAATGGATAAAAGCAATGTCTGGAAGGAAAATATTCTCGGGGAGAATGAATCCTTGCTTTCTACATTAACTGAGAAATGAGAAGGAACAAACAACACAAGTTTCTGGTGTAATAATACCCTAATAAAAGATATATTATTGATTAGCTGAAGGTGGTGTGTTATTTGAAGGGGTTCAAATTCAAAATACTATGAATTATATTTCTTCTTTAAATAACAGTGATTTAGACAAGTTCTTTATATCATGCTTGTTTAATAAAATTAAAATCATATCCAACTACTGCATTTTTCTCTTAATATCAAAAGTATAATTACCTTTTCAACATAAGACCGGACCATGTTTTCAATATCTTGAACAATACTCTCCTGTTGTCCCTCTGCAAAAGAAGCCAAAATTTTGTTCAGATTATGATGAGTCTTCTTAGAATACCTCTCAATTTGTATAAAGATACTGAGAAATGTGTTGAGGTTTACCTACTGCAACCTTTGTTAACCCAGGAAGATCTATGAGGGTTAAGTTTACAACTGCAGAAAAAGCCACATAAAATCATCATATATCTGACATGTCAAACCAAAATGTCATATAGAATGAGGGCATTAACTAAGTCTTTCGTATTCCCATTTCCCAACAAGGCAGGTAAGAGAGCCAATGTTCTTCAACCAAAAGAAATTAATTATGATTTCCAAAATTTTATGAATTGTGTAAGGCAGGTAACTTGAAGAAATAAAGCAGAAGATTAAGTCCTCCAAGTTCTGGAAGACAAGATTCGTTCAACTACTTTACAAAAATTAGCCTTACTTTAAATTAAAAGCCATCATTAGTCACCGCAATCAAATGTTCACTTGTGTGGAAATGCTAAGAAAGACATACTGCCATGTTGGACATCTTTAAAATTTCTTGTAAGTTCTCAATAAAAAATGCTATCAAGATTCATGTCATGTTATCAATGGATAAATAATACAAATACAAACCATTTGGAGAATAAATGCTTAGGTGAATTGGAATGTTAGAAATTTGTTTTGTCTTCCCAGTTATACGATCTGTTTCATCTGCTATTTCCTTCCTCACAGCAGCTGCATGAGCATCAAAGGAACGTTAGAGAGAACCCATTAATTGAGACATTACATTGTATAAACTCTAACTAACTGTTACTTGTTAGCCCCACACTGAACAATGGACACAGAGACAAACATTACAATAATAGCCTTTCATTTCAAACTATACATACTGCATAGCATACATCTCATCCACAACCATAGCCTCTATTTTCGTTTCAAAGCCATAGTACTATCAAAATTGTTTACACTTTTATTCACTCATTATTGCACATCTGGCTTAAACAGAAAAATAGGAAATTTTCGATAGAAAATTCATTTACCAAAGTCACTGAATCTCCTTCTCGGTAAGTGAAGAAACTCAGCATACTCGTGTGTCCCATCTTCCGTCTTGTGAAGTTGCAGCACTAGTGGCCTCCGTGTAACAATACCTTACAAAAAAATAAAAAATAAAAAAAAGTCAAAAAACCATTTATAAGAACAAAAATAACCATCCTCCACAGCCATGAAAAATAATAAACGTATGCGGACTTCCTGGAGTACAAACAGAACATTTTAAAAAAATAAAATAAAAATAAAAATATCGCGCCAAAACCTCTCAAAATCTTTTAAAACTCTTTTGCATCAAGCTGGCTGGTGTCTTATTTCACACTTAGACTTAGTAACCACTACTCAGCATGGTATCATTTGTTGTACACTACATCTATATTTACTACTAACGGGAATAGTCTTTATGAACTGCATTACTAAAGAGATCTCGTAAAATAACGAATAAAGCAGAACGCGGTAAGATAGAGATTGACAATCACCAGATCCACGAGGCAGAAAATCTCTTCCGACCACACTTTCTAGCACCGACGATTTCCCTGAACTCTGATATTCCACAAAACAAATTTAAAAAGAAAAAAAGAAAGAGTTAAAAAGCATTGTAGTTTAAATGGAGGTGGCGTTGGTTACCTGTCCACCGACGACGGCGACGGAGGGAAGAGCCTCCCAAAGCGACAAACCTTCGCCGCCGTGATCGCCCAAGACGGTGCAGGCTCGCTGGATCTTATTGATGAGACCGATCAAGCTCGTCATCGTCGCCATTTTGGATTCGGAAACTAGATCGGATGGGAGGAGAGGTTAGATGAAGGGAAGGAGATCTAATCTAATGACAGGTTTATGGTTTTAGATCAAACGCGCTTCCGAGGATGCAGAATCAACGTGCATCCAAAGAGACGGGAGTGCGAACGGGAAAACCAACATCAACAGAGATGAAACAACCAAACGGTTCTTTATTTCATGTGATGGGGCAAATGGTCACTTCACACGTTCGAACAAGTTAGTTCTAAAGTCTTTTTTTGAAGACTACTACTGTGACGCGACATTGACACCCTCCCAATAAATAAGCTGTGTTTTCTTGTCATAACAAAATTACTTATTTAGTCTTAAAATTTAAGTGGTGAAAGCAAAACGGGCTGGCCCGCTGTGGTTTGATCAGGCCCAACAAAGGAGAAATGGGCTTGAAGCCCATTTTCCATGCTCTGTTTCGTCCGTCCTTATGCTCTCGTTCATCTTGTAGCATGTACGAGACTGTTGAAACGAACGTAACCACCGTTGTAGCCTTTGTTTGAGCTTCACTTCACCTCAATCAATGGTCACAAGAAGAAAGCTCCTAAATTTGTTATCAACACTAACCCTAAACGCATCTCAGCCACTTCTTCCGCAGCGCGCCGATGCATTTCAGCACTTTGCCAAAACCCTTAGGGTTTACGGAACCGAAGCATCGAAGCTTCCGGAATACGAGATGCCGTCGGTGACGTGGGGCGTGATCCAAGGCCGCAAGGAGAAGCTCGTTTCGCGTGTAATCATCTTCGATTACCTCAAGGGTTTGGGAATCATCCCCGACGAGTTGCACGACCTCGAACTTCCCTCCACCGTCGATGTCATGCGCGAGCGCGTCGAGTTTCTCCAGAAATTAGGTCTAACCGTCGACGACATTAACAATTACCCTCTAATGTTAGGGTGTAGTGTCAGAAAAAACATGATTCCTGTTTTGGGGTACTTGGAAAAAATTGGGATCGCAAGGCCCAAGCTTGGGGAGTTTGTTAAGAATTACCCGCAGGTGTTGCATGCTAGTGTCATTGTTGAGCTTGCTCCGGTTGTTAAGTTCCTCAGGGGGCTTGATGTAGAGAAAGATGATATTGGGTATGTGTTGCAGAAATACCCTGAACTTCTAGGGTTCAAGCTTGAGGGTACTATGAGCACTTCAGTGGCTTATCTTGTTAGTATTGGTGTGAACCCTAGAGATATTGGTCCAATGGTCACTCAGTATCCTTATTTATTAGGGATGAGAGTTGGGACTGTCATAAAGCCGATGATTGATTACTTGGTTAATTTGGGGCTGCCAAAGAAGGTTTTGGCTAGGATGTTGGAGAAGAGAGCTTATATTCTTGGCTATGATCTTGAGGAAACTGTGAAGCCAAATGTGGAGTGTTTGATTAGTTTTGGTGTGAGGAGGGAGTGTTTGGCTTCGGTTATCGCCCAATATCCGCAGATTCTCGGGCTGCCTCTTAAGGCTAAGTTGTCATCACAGCAGTACTTTTTCAGTTTGAAACTTAAGGTTGAGCCTGAAGGGTTTGCGCGTGTGGTGGAGAAGATGCCACAGGTGGTTAGCCTTCACCAACACGTGATTATGAAGCCGGTTGAGTTCCTCATTGGAAGGACGATACCAGCGCAGGACGTGGCAAGTATGGTGATCAAGTGTCCTCAGTTGATGGCACTGAGAGTTGAGCTCATGAAGAACAGCTGTTACTTCTTCAAGAGTGAGATGGGGAGGCCCTTGAAAGAGCTTGTGGAATTTCCAGAGTACTTTACTTATAGTTTAGAGTCCAGGATCAAACCTAGATACCAGAGGCTGAAGAGTAAAGGGATAAGGTGTTCGTTGAATTGGATGCTGAATTGTAGCGATCAGAGGTTTGAAGAGAGGTTGCAGGGTCACTACATTGAAACTGAAAGTGTAGGTCCGAGGTTCTGTATGGGAGGAAAACTAGAGCTACCGGGGAATGACATAGTGTCAGATGAGGAAGATGACAGTGATGATGAAGTGTTATACAGACGAACTGTTTCTCTTTAGCTCAATAATTTTTTATTTTTGCGACAGTTAGTGAAAGTGAAACCATTGCAAAACTGCCATCAATTGGAGGATTAATTTTGTCTATTTTGTCCCCAGTTGTACTATTATTGCATTTGTATTGCCAATAGATGACATGTCAACTTTTCAATAAATTTGTTATGTATAATATCTTTGGAGACGGAGTAAAGTCTGAAACAATGATATTTTTCCCCGGAACATCTATGCAAATTATGTTGCTTGTTTCCTTCATTATGTAGTGATAAACTAATAGTGCCACAAAGACAGGATTTTGAAGTCTGTTAATGGTATCTTTGGAAACATGGTGGATCACGTTGAGAAAACCATGGTAGCCTCGAAGCTACTCTCTAGCATGGTGGAAAGATGTAGTGTGACACCGTGGTTTCCTTGAATCACCGCTGAACCAAACACACCAAGTTGGAAGAGTTGATTTGTTTGAAAAGCGCCAAACCATGGATTAAGCAACAGCATGTAATAGGGAAGCTTTCTACTTAAGAAATGAGAGTTTGTTTTCTTGTAATTGCCACTGATTGTTTCTTTTATATATACTGATTTGGCTCATTTTTAGGGGGAAAAAAGTCCCAATAATTGCTTTCAAATTTATTTTGCTTTAGTTGGTTCTTTCAGTATATAGATCCTCGAACTCAGAGGTGGCATCCTTTGGTGGATCCTTTTGTTGTGTCTGAGATTAGAAGATGATAGGATGGACCTACAGGCCCGAAAAAGATAAAATTAAGTTGTTGAAAAATTTTATTAGACGTATTAGATTATTTTAATCATATGAAATTTGGTTGTTAACTTGTTATTGTATTTTCCTTTTATTCCCTAAAGCCAGATGACACTTGCAGGTCATTATTCTATTGTTGGTACTAATTAGGTTATGTAAGTGTATTCTCCCTGGCCTATCATAATCAAAGATTTGAAAATAGTTGATTTCTGTGTTTAAAGTGGTGCTACTTGTTTATGTATGCCCAACTATACACTATTTTAGAGATGTGTTGTGCATTTGACAAAGTATTTAAAGAACACCTGGATGAAGGGTAAGTGCTGTCGATGAGCTCTAGAATTAGCTTCTTGTATACTCACATTTTCGTTTCATTACAAAGGAATTTTATGCAACTCTTTTTTTCTTCGTTATGGTGTCAACCTTTTAGAAAGTTAATCTATTTGATTAAGCAACTAACTTCAATTTCAGACATCCTGGTGGGGACCGGATATATGGAGTTTTTTTATCACCTTTTACCGGCTGCTATGAAAAAACTCCCTTTCGATCACCATCTTTCCTTAAAAAATGCCCGGAGAATTGTCACTGAAGCTGATGAGTATTGACCCCATCTAATTCCTCCAGAGCAGGGTTATGGAAGACTTATTTAAGGGTCTATCAGCTATCTCAAAGGCCCAGTTGAAGCCTTTGTGGGTGCTGTCATCTCTTTTATTTTGTTATATTATTATATTTTGTTTTAGTCTGTTATCCTTTCCCTTGTTCTGATGAAATTAATATGAAATACTTGATTGTTTAGACATGAGATGTCCTTCACAGATATTCTATTGCCTTTTTTTTTAAATGATGCTTTATCACCTTTCAAGGACTAATAATGCAGGATATTAGTCGTATATCTCAGCACTAATTTGTTCGGTGAAGGAGAAACAAGGTGGAGGGAAAAGAAATAGATGGAAAATAAAAAGTGAATGTGTTTAGTAAAGAGGAAAGAAATTAAAAGACATGGAACCAACTAATTAATTTTATTCTATTTCTTACCATTTTCATCCACCTATTTATTTCTTTCATATTTCTTTTAAATCAAATACAATAAATTTTACTTTATTTCTTATGTACTCATATTTTCATTCACCATATTTTTTACTTATTTTTTTCTTTCCTACTAAACGGACGTAGTTGTTGTAAGGTGCCATTCCTAGCCTAATACTTCCGAACATTAACTTAAGGATTTGAAGGGAGTTAAGGTGAATTTGGATGGGGAAAAAACACTAAGTGGGACAGAATTAACTCCTACAGTTTGTCCTACTAGATGACATGCAGGAACTAGAAAGATTACCACCACTTTCAAATGATATAGCAACAGCTTCTAATGAAGCTCTGGAAAAACTCTTGAGAAAGCAGGAAGGCAGTTTTACGGTTGGTTGATTCATTTTGAAACATAAAAGAATCCAAATGGACCACCAAATCCAAATCGGAATGGTCCCCCCATTATTAACAGTTATACTGACAATCACCTGCGCAAATTTGGTACATATTTTTCTTTGAGCCATTTCGCTACAATTAAGTATAATATTGTAAATTATAAGTTTATAATTTATTATTATTCTACGACTTCAAGACTGGTTTCGATGAGCAACACTGTCTTTTTGTGGTACAATCTTTTTTTTGGGTACAAACAGTGCCCTTTTATTTAAGTATATAACCCTCGTCTTTTATTAAAAGTAGAAGTTATTTTATGTTTGCAGGCAATATGAGAGCTTTTTTTGTCTAATGTTTAGCCAGCATATGTCGTTTTCAATTAAAAGAAGTCGATTGTTTAATAATGATCTTTTTCATAAGTCCATTGGCACTAAAATATTAAAAATAAATAAATAAAAGAGAGAAGAGAGACAGAGAGGGTTTTGGGTAAAATGTGTACAACTCTTTTCCCTCGTATTTTGTTTAAGTTTCTGGTATTATTAAATACGGTCAAATACATTGAAATTCTATCTTTGCGCATCTCCTTTTAGAGGAGGGTTTAAATTTTAACGGCACAATCCCACTTGGTTGGGATTTTGCTTCGAAACTGTTTTAACGGATCTGTAAGGTTTTTCGTTCATCGTTATGTTTGTTATATTATGTTCCTTTTTTCTATAAGATTATATTATGTTCCTTGTTACAGACCAAATGTAAACTCCTTTATCAATAAGGTTTGCGATACGCTTAAGAATATATGGAGGAAGAAAAATTCTACATCCTCCGAAATGGTAGTACGAAATTTGTTCCGAATACTTAAAAAATTAATTTAAACTGTAAAATATTAAATTAAATAATTATTTTATAATAAATTTATTAAAAAAATATGAATATTTTAAACATTCGGAATGTATTTGGCATCTTTTTTCGGAGGAATTGTTTCTCTTTAGCTCAATTTTTTTTGTTTGTGCTACAGTTGGTGAAATCATTGCAAAGTATAACTGTCACTAATGGGGGCTTATTGGTCAGATATTTTAAAAGGGGGCTTATTATCATTCTATAACCTTTCAATAAAAATTCAATTAACCTTCTAAAAAGATATTTACCCACTATATCCGATTTTACCACTTTAAAAGTTGGTTGTTACTTCTCTTAGCTCTGATCCATGTGCGTCACTAACATCACTTCTTCTCTATAAAAAGCGCCTATAATTTAATCCACTTTAATTCAGAAAGATCTCTTAGAACTTTATTTTTCTTTTTGACTTTCATTAATTAGCAGAACTAGTTTGAAATTAATGTTATAAACTTTATGACTTCAAAAAGTAAAACAAAAATCAAGTAAAACTTCACAGCCAATAATACAAGTATTCAAAACATTATTTTATTTACTTAAGTCAAAAACAATGGCAAGACTTTCAAAATTAGTTGTAGAACAGCTTAGAAGTCAAAAAGAAAAGAAAAACACTCTTGAAAAGTTAATCGATAATTGTTCACCGCCAGTAACAGTGTTGTTCACATTAATTTTCAAAATAAAAAAGAATTACCAGTGCAATGTAATTTTATGGACTGAAAATTTAACTCTAAAATATTACAAGCAAATTTCCTATATAGACTTGTATCAAAACATGGTTTGCTAATCATTTGACGTGCATATTATTTATTTTGCCCTTAATATCTACAAGGATTTAACATCAAACCTTGGGGTAAATTATCTAATAGCGAAAACAGAATATCGTACTTATACGGATAATATTACCTAGCTTTAACAGCGGAGAAATAAATGGAAAGGCACTTGGTGCTTCACACAAACATGAACTTATAATCAACTTGAAACTATTAATGTATAACACAACCAAATAAGCTTAGATCTTGATCTGATTACAAAGATATTAACAAACCTGAGATGAGAGGACACAATCACACTATCTGCGTATTACAAATATCAACTGCAAAAAGGAGAAAGGGGGGGATATAAAGCTACCTATACAACCACACAGCCACTCAAAGAAAAGCTGAAGGTTAGCTCCAAGTTAATTTTCTTCCTTTGCCTGGCTTCTTAGCCGATCTCTCTCTAAGCAGGAAATACAAGAGTCTATGTCAGACGCATACCGATTCCTCAAACTCTCTTCTCACCATCAATCCATGGCCAATATCATAAACAATGGTCGTCGGAATGCCAGTTACAATCTTATAATCAATTGGGGGAAAAAAAAGACAAATTAAAAATAAAGTAAACAGAGAAGGGCAGAAGAACGATGCTATGAAAGTTCACTCCTGAGTGCCTCTTCAAGAAACATTGTCATTGGGTGCTGCGCGTTAATCCTCCCCGTGCCACATTTCTGCACAAATGTAAAGATTCCCCATCAGTCACCCAAGTTAACGGGGAAATCAGAATGTCAAAAACGTACAATAAGAGAATGTAGTCAATAATTCAGGAGTTTTGTAAGTTGAATAATTGTTGACAAAGCATCAAGATAAATCCTATGCCTTGTGGAGCATGGGGATTTTAATAATTAAATGCTAAGTTAGCTCAAGTTTGGTAGAAATAACATGTTTAAAGAAGAAAAAAAAAAAACTAGAGCAAACCAAAATAAAGTGTCATTTGAAGGAAAATATCTTCACGCAAGACAATATAAAGAGAAATATTCTAGAAATGGTGTGTATTTACGGAAGACCTGAAACAAAATCATAACATCTGACAGATAATTTGTAAGAAACGCAAGATGATGTTAAAGATACAACTTGTATGCAAAGAAATAACGATGTTCTAGCTTTTTCTAAAAATTGATGTAAAGCTTCACAATGCACGTCACTAGGTTGCATTTGTTAAAGAGCCAAGACATTGTACAGAATCTGAACTTCAGATACCAAAACAAGAGGCCTGGGGTGAAAACAAAATTATCTATCACGTAGTGGAGTAGGGGTGATATTCAGTGCAACTGCAAAGATAGCTACAAACAAAAGCACATCCCGTAACCTAAAATCCATCAAATTTAAATAATTTATAACCTTGAACAGAAACACCTAATGAAACAAACCTGGAAAGTAAGAGTGAAATAAAGAAGAGAATAAATTCATAAAAGATAGGCAAAGCTCCAAGTCTAAAAATCATTTATAGAAAACAGCAAGCCATAGTATTCCATTGAATAAAATTCACAACAATTAAACTGAAAAACAAAGAAAAAGACAAAGCTACCTTCCAGAAACAAGCTGATGTTGAGCACTGTTCATAGGGCCCTTTACATTGCTGAAACGCTTTGCTCTGCTATCTTGTTCTTTCTCCACACGCATTGCAGCTACCTCCTTCTCCATGGCAGCTACTTCTCTTCTCATTTTCTTTGCCTCAACTTCCATGGCTTTGGTTAATGTATCCACTTTCTTTGCTAGCATCTAACAGATACCGACCATTACAAATTAGCTAAGATTACAATTATCAATTAGAAATCTATGATTAATATCCATGAGCAAATAAATACTAACTTCAATGGCATCATCTTTATCTTTTAGGCTTTGATCTTTCTCATGGCCAGCTTTCCTCAAGGCTAAGACCTCTTTCTGCAGCAAATCATATAAAACTCCTGGAACACTATCCTCTGTATCCACTGTTGGGAAGTCATTTGGCTTATCATCTGAATTTCCTTTCCAATTATCGTTTTCCTCCCTGTCCTTGGTTCCTTCAGAAGACTGGTTGAATGAGTAACTTGGAGGTTTTCCATTTAGAAGAATTTTGCTCCTTTCTAATGACCTTGTGCCACCATCAAAGGATTTAGATGTGCCTTTAGCATGCTTCAAAACTGTGCTTGAAGACACAGAAGACCTAAGTTGAGTTGATGGTGATCTCTTTAGAAACCCATTAGAGGTTAGCTTTGAGATGTTATCAGCTCCACCTAGGGATTGACGTCGAGAAGGCCCATTGCTAATACATCTTCCCTCTGAGGTGCCGCGATTAATACTGTTAGAAGTTTCTCTCAAACTCTCCTGTAGCACTTTAAGCCTTGATTGATATTTTTCCTGAAATGTAAAAGGTTTACCTTGAGTAACGGCAGAAGTAATCTCCTAAGCTAATACATGGGGGCTGTAAAACCAGATTATTACTTTTAACTGTGCTTCAGACTTTGCAGTGCGCTCAGTTATAGCAAGCTTGTCCCGAAGTTGCTGCATCTCTCCCTATAAGAATGTAGTTTGGTAAAATAACAGAAACCACATCAAAGGAAAATCAAATGCAGGAAGATTTGTACTATTTTTTTCTTTCTAAAAATAGCCACAAAATCAAATCAAATTTAGTCAGAAATAATATTCACCTGCAAGAATCGTCGTTCTTCAAGCCATTGTTTCACTGGCATCACTTTGTCATTAGCATCTTTCCATTCATTTGCAACCACTACAGCTACTCTGTTTGCTGTTACCTTTGCACGAGCTAACTCCCGGTCAAGTGTTTTTCTTTCTTCCTATAAAGTGTCGAAATAAACCATGCAACAATTAATATGCTTTTTAACCGGAGTCAACAATTGAGTAAACAAACTAGAGGAGTAAAGTTCATGATTTAAACACATTACATTCATTTCTTGAACTTTCCGCTGATAATCTCTCACAGCATTAGCAGCTGCACCACCTGCAAGGACAGCCTCTTCTAGTTCTCTCACAGTCTGGGTAAGTTTTTCAACCTCTGCCACCTTCAGTCTATGCATTTTGTCCAAAATTTTATTTTCTTCCTGGGGGAGGTGATGATGATACATGTAAGAAATTACATAATTATGGCTGACGTACTTGGAGAGGGAACACCTTACAAAATTGCAAATACCTGACAAATCTCAATCTGCTTAATTAGTTCTTGATTTTTATTTTGGAGATCATCCACCATGGAGGCCTTAGCCAAGGCAATTTGTACAGTCTTCTCAGCTTCAAGAAGTGCTGCTTCTTTAGATTTGGTAAGACGATCTAAAGCTTTGTTATCATCCTGAAGTTTAGCAATCTACAAGATACAAATTGAAGAAAATAATGACATAAATCGCCAATGATAAGTCAGCTTCTCATCATTTTCTTCTCATGGGAATCACCATTCCAAATAGAAGGAAAACCATCATAATACCTCTTGCCGTGCAAGCTTAAGTTCAGCCTCCAGAGGAGCAAGAATGGCCTCTATAGGAGGCATGTCATCATCCTTCTGAGCAGCATGGACCCTCCGAAGAGTGGCTTCGGCTGCAAACTGAGCAGCCATCGATGCTTTCTTTTCATCATTGATTTTCTTTATTTCAAGATTCTGCAAGAAATATCCACTTTAGTACACATTTCCTGTAACCTCAAAATTTACTCATCATAAGGTTGACAGAGGCTTCAAGCTTTACTTTGCTTTCTAGAAGTGATTCAGTTAATTTCAGCTTCCCCTCCACCTTTGACAATTCTTCAGTAAGCTACAGTGCAAGGAAATAAAACAGGAAACAAAGTTACATATCAAGTTGACACAAAGCGATGAGAGTATACATTAAGAAACAGCAGTGCCATGAATAAGTGAAATTATGGCACAGGGACAAGTTTTCCAGTAACCATGCATCAGAAATAATTGATATCATTATGACAACATCAATAAGGTTAAAATACAAAACGGACAAAGTAGCCCCACACCGTAAGTCAGTCAAAACATAATTACCTGCATAAATATAAGACACGGAAAAACAGGCAATAACTCTAGAACAAAAAAATATTTACACAACAAACACCAAAAGCAAACTCGAATCAATATCACCAAGAATCAAACACGGACATATACACAGTAGTTTGTAATGAATAAAATAAAATAAAATAAAACAAATCTTTCTTTGGTAAGTAATAACATCAATCAGCAAAGAAGCATTGTCCAGTGTAAAAGTAAAAAAATCTAAAGAAATTAGCAATGAAGGTTTTTCCATAATCCAGACACTAACAGTAACAGCAATGACTATAATGGAAATTCGTAATTAATTTAATTTAAGTTGAATAATAAAAGGAAGGTGAAAATTAGAGGATGACCTCTTCAACGGCCTTTTCCTTGAGTCGTTCGGAGAGCCTCAAGGCTTTGATCTCCGCCTGCGCTTCCGATAATTCTCTGTCCTTATCTGCAAACACGCAACACGGTGAGTCACAACACGAAGCAAAATCAGGTTAAGAACTCGCCAGATCGAGTCGCATTTTGGCACCTCTAACTTCATTCTCCAACCGATTGAGCTCCACCTTCACCGGATCCGAACCGTGCAACAGGTTCATGAACTCGTCCGCGTCGAGGCTCGGCCTCATCGAATGTCCGCGCCTCCGCGACGAGGTCTTCCCTTCCTTGAAGGATCCGGACACCGCCAGCGGCGGCACCGGAGTGGCGAGCGTCGCCTCCGCTCCGCCGTCGCCGGAAACCTCCGCCATGGCCGATCTAAGCGATGCCGAAGCGGCGAAAGCAGTCACATCCACGTGGTTGGTCCTCCGCGGATCCCGAGGCGCGCACGGAGACGAAGAGCGAGAGTGGCGGGGAAAATGCAGGTGTGAGAAGGAGACGGTGGTTTTAGAGAGAGAAATTCGGAGATGGATGGCTTCAGTTTCATAGTCTGTGCTTGTTTCTCTCTCTAGATTGTGATTTTAAATCTGGGCTTTCTTTCTTTTCCACTTTTTTGTTTTTGTTTTTGTTTTTGTTTTTGATTTATTTATTTTTAATTGTTGCTGTGTTGCCTGAGAGTGATAGTGAGATTAAATAAATCTGAGTAATCAGTGTATAGCTGGCTGTTAAGCAGACCAATACTGAGTGAGTGACAGGGAAACACAGTAAACTCTTTCTCATCATCTTAATCAAATCTAATAAACCCTTCAACATACACCGCTGGCGTAATGCGCACTCCATGCAACATCCTGGATATGGGTGTGCCTTACGCGGCTAGGCGTACGATAGCCACTCGGGCCCACAACCGGCTTAGCTGGTATACAGACTCACTCACTACTCACTACCATTTCCATATATATCACGTTTAACGTTTCCACTCAACATACATCTGGGATTAATAATAATAAACCCATGAAAAATGGGTAATCCCCGATTCAGAATTACAAAATCTCTTCTGTGGCTGCCAAACTACAATTCCACGTCTGCAAAAACTTGTTCTAATTAATTTTCTTTATGCTATTACGGGATCTTAAATTGCTAATAAATGCTAGATGAGCTACAGAATCTTCAATAACATTTCAGTGTAGATAAGATAATGTTACAAAAATACCAAACTGTCAAATACCGGAGAATAGAAAACTTCTAAATTTTGTATGAATAACAAAATATTACATTTGGCTTAGAATATTGCTAATTATGCATTTACATCCTTTTTTTCTATAGGAAATGGGCTTTTTACCAAAGTAGGGTTGAATGGGAAGTTATTTACGTAAATGGTATCTGACCTCAGTCTCCAGGAAACAATATCGATGTGTATCTTCAACCGTTGATTGAGGAGTTGAAGGAATTATGGGAATCAGGAGTAGAGACATATGATGCTTCAAGGAATCAAACATTTCAAATGCATGCAGCTCTTTTATGGACAATTAGTGATTACCCTGGGTATGCTATGTTGTCTGGATGGAGCACAAAAGGAAAGTTGGCATGTGCATGTTGCAATTATAACACTTTTTCAATCTATTTGAAGCATAGTCGAAAGATGTGTTATATGGATCATCGTGTCTTTCTACCTATGGGTCATGTTTGGAGGGCTAATAAGAGTGCTTTTAATGGAAAACAAGAACATAGATCTGCACCAAGTTTGTTAAGAGGGGAGGAGATATTAGAAATCTTAAAAGATTTCAACAATTTATTTGGGAAAACCAAAAGACAAAAAATTGATGGCCCATGGAAGAAGAAGTCAATTTTTTTTGAGTTGCCATATTGGGCTGAGAATCCATTACGTCATAATCTTGATGTAATGCATATAGAAAAAAACTTTTTTGATAATATTATTGGGACTTTATTGGATATCGCGGGCAAGACAAAGGATCATATTAAGGCTCGTTATGATTTGCAAGAGATGGGCATTAGAAAGAATCTTCATCCAATTGATATTGGTGGAGGTCGTGCAAAGTTTGTAAAAACATGTTTCTCAATGACTTCAGAAGAGAAGTCTACTTTTTGTGGTGTTTTCAAGGGCAGTAAGTTACCAGATGGTAGTGCATCAAACATTTCAAGATGTGTGCACATTACTGAAAGGAAAATATCTGGTTATAAGAGTCATGATGCACATTTTATGCTACATTACTTACTACAGATAGCAATAAGAAGCACAATGCCAAATGCAGTGGCTCATCCTCTAATTCGTCTTGGTTGTTTTTTTCGCTCTTTGTGCCAAAAAGTTATCCAAGTCCATGAGCTAGACTACTTACAAGCAGAGATTGTAGAAATACTTTGTCAATTGGAGATGATTTTTCCTCCTAGCTTTTTTGATATAATGGTTCACTTACCTATTCATCTTTCCAATGAGGTTAAATTGGGTGGCCCGGTTCAATTTCGGTGGATGTATCCTATAGAAAGATATTTATGTAAGCTCAAGAGTTATGTTCGTAATAGAAGCCAGCCAGAAGGTTCTATTGCTGAGGGGTATTTGGCTGAAGAGGCATTGACTCTTTGCTCAAGATATTTACATAAAAATGTGGAGACAAGGTTGAATAGAAAGAATCGAAATTATGACAACAGTGATTTGTGTGAAGTAGATGCAGCTGATTACTTCACAAGTATTGGATGTCCTTTAGGGGGGAAGAAAAATGGGGAACCATTTGCTTTGGACTTTCAATCTACAGCCCAAGCCCATCGATACATCTTATTCAATTGTGAAGAAGTTCAAGTCTATATCCGGTGCGAGAAGTTCTCATTTTCCATCTATTGATTATCTCTAAATTATTTCATTTTATTTTTATACTAACAAATGACATTGTTGTCATTGTAGAGAGCATGATGATAGTATTAATAGTCACACTAAAAAACGGAAGTGGGCTAAGGCAAAAGTGCAGAGTCAAGATTTTAGTGAATGGTTTAGAAATCGGGCCATGAAAAATGATGTATCATTTCAGCTCAAAGAATTGTCAAGAGGACCAAATACTGTTGCAAAGAGGTTTTCAGGCTACCTCATTAATGGATATAGATTCCACACTATGAAACGAGATGCAAGAAGAAAAACCCAAAATTCTGGTGTGACATTGGTTTCGTTAACTCCTAGTTTTGCAAGCTCTAAGGATGAAAATCCCAAGATAGAATCTATCCCTTATTATGGAGCAATTACTGATATCATTGAGTTAGATTATTATGGCCACTTCAATTTTGTGTTGTTTAGGTGTGATTGGTTTGAGGTTGAAGAAGACAAATATGGACTTATTTGTGTACACTTCAACAAAAGATGTTATCAAGATGATCCTTTTGTGCTAGCTTCTCAAGTCCATCAATGTTTTTATATCCAAGATCCTTTTAATGAAAATAGGCATTATGTTATGAAAACAATGCCACGAGATGTATTTAACATGAGTGAGCAGTTGGAGCCAAGAGGTGTAAATGCACCAGAATCATTCAAGAGAGCACATATGTATGAAACTTTATGCAGAGATTCAGAGAAGACGTTATATCCAAATTGCACAAAATTCACAAGATTGTCAGCGATATTAAGATTCACTACTAGAAAAAAATTAATATTTGTGACGAATTTTGTGACGGAAAAAATAGCATCGCTAATAGTGACACATTTTGTGAGGGATAGGGAATGGGATAATGGGCATTGTTGCAAATGTTGGAAAGATGATTATTATTCATTCTATGATGCAAATGTTGGACAGATACAATGAAACTAAAATGTTTTCACTTTGATATGTTATCGTGGTGTTGGGATGCCTTCTGTGATGGATTTCAAACTCTATTTAATACGAATTAAGTTTCTATTTCATTCTGCCCATTCACAAAGTATAAGGCATGTAATCATGTTATATTCTCATTGACTAGCTTAATTCGTCCTTCCATTATAATACCAACTAATCAAATTTTTTAAATTATTTTTTTATTTTTATTTCATTAAATAAGCAACTGACATAACACTACTAACAGTGTATAAGTGATTAACTCTTATAACACCGTAGAAACTAAATTATAAAATAGCCATTCTATCTGAAAATGTGCGGTTTATAAAATTGGTCCACAATATCCCATGTAGCAACACCATGTGAAATTAATCTTTCAACAGCATTATGATCATGCTTCAAAAACTTTACAATGGTCATTTGTGAGGAGTATAGGAAGTATCGGAGAGACCACTTTATTCATAAGTGATGTGCTCCCAGACTTATTCACATGGAGGGTCCTTTGCACCATGTTTGTAAGTGGCGCCACAAATAGAAAGGGGCCACTACTTTAGATTGCAAGAACATCGTAATTTGGTTTGCACAACAACCTAGAGCGGTGACATGTACCGTTATCAATTGAATTAGCTTGATTATCCTTGGAGGAGAGGTCGTGGTCGCTTGTGGGGTATAAACAAGTTACCTTCCTATATTTATGCCCGTAATGTGACTCCTTACCTCACACAACACAATTGTGCAACAAGTTTAATTCGCCTCACTCAATTACTATCTCTGGCAAATCACATAACCATTACTCAACCCATAAATGTATTTTGCGTCTCAGCTCATAAACATTCATTTGTTCATCTGAATACAGTGAAGGGTATTTAGTATTGAATGCATACGTATTATTGAGTATTAAACCAAAATATGCTAATAATTTACAACCAATTAACCATATCTCATCACATGGGCCGTGAGCATCTTCAGCACGAGACTTGTCATATGGCTATGCTTAGCGTTAAAAATGACAACCGAATACAACGAAGATATTCTAGTCTCAAAAAAATATGATATAATCAAAACATACTTGGTTTTCACCGAATTATTAAACCTGTCATTTAGTTTCGACAGCCAAGTTCACAAGATATAAAAATTTGGTGTTTGAAACTCCGTAAATATCCATTCAACTAAATTTGGGGGGGAAAAGAACAAGAAAATGCATGTAGATATACGTCCCTCGATAGAAAAGGAAATAACAAAATTTTCTGGTTCCTAGCATGCTTTAAGAAACACAATCAACCAATAGCATCAAAACTGCTAGCTCAAGCCTCCACCCTTTCTTCCTCGAGGATCAAGGCCTTTCCTGTTGGCTTTGCCAATAGATCTGTGTACTCTTGGAATGGTGACTTGGAGAAGCGAGTCTCCCTCCAGAAGTCAGGTGTTAGAAAACCGTAGGTTTTCATCAGACAATCAAAAGTAGCCTGTAATTAAAAAGACAAAAAAACATTATAGACATAAATAAATCATACATAGCTAAATAGTTACATAATATCGACGTCTCCTCACCTATGATTAATTATTTCGAAATGTATTCGTTACATACAATCCAATGTATTAATTAATCAATAATCAATTAATTAACTCAATTGACTAATACAGCCAAGGCCATAGATTAAAAAATTAGAATCTGAGAAACAGTGCTAGACAGGCACAGGGCTTATGTTACTTCAAAGCACATTAACCTGCCGAATCGGCATCATAAATCATCGGATCAAAAACCATCTTACAGTAGAAGATATATTTGAATTGCCATATAATCAAAATTAATAAGGAAAATAGTACATGATTCCAACGGCTAGCACAATCAAATTAAAATAATAAGCATCCAACCCAATATAATTATAGATAAATAGCTAAATTTTGGATGAAATTGCTGAGTACCATGAAATTGAATTACAAAACATTTTTTTTAAAACCAAAAAAGAAGTGAAGACTAGCCGAACAGACCCTAAAAGGTGCAAGTTTCGGTGCAAAGAACAATGGAGGGGTACTAACCATTATAAAAACTAGTAGGCACGCTATCGCAAGTACTTGAGAGAATTCATTTAAAACCTTATGATACATGTCACTAATCAAGCAATACGTTGTAATGAATGAGAACAAATAAAATAGTTATAGGAATAAGAGAAGAATACCTTGACGAAATTTCCGAGAGTCTTGGTGGAACCCCTGGAGGAAGTGAAGACATCGTCGATACCAGCGAACTGCAAGACCTTCTTGGGAACCCTGGCGGCGACGATTCCGGAACCACGGGGGGCGGGGACCATGCGGACGGTGACGGAGCCGCACTTACCGGTGACCTTGCTGGGAACGGTGTGGGGCCTGCCGATCTTGTTACCCCAGTAGCCTCTCCTAACGGGGATGACGGAGAGCTTAGCGAGGATGATGGCGCCGCGGATGGCGGTGGCGACCTCCTTGCTGCACTTGACGCCGAGGCCGACGTGGCCGTTGCTGTCGCCGACGACAACGAAGGCCTTGAAGCGGGTGCGTTGACCGGCGCGGGTTTGCTTCTGAACGGGCATGATCTTCATGACCTCGTCCTTGAGGGAGGGGCCAACGAGTGTGTCGATGATTTGGTGCTCCTTGATTGGGAGAGAGTGGAGATAGATCTGCTCCAGGCTGCGGATTTTCCCATCCTTCACCAGACGCCCTAGCTTCGTCACTGGGACCCACTTCTCCTCCTCATCGCGCCGACCCGCCCTGCGACGCCCGCGCCCTCTGTCGCCGCGCCCGCGCCCACCGAAGCCGCGACCGAAGCCGCCGCGGTCTCCGCCTCCACGTTCTGCCATGTTGTTGGGGGTGATTAAGGGAATGGAGTGACTGCGCTGGAGAGAAATGGAAGGTTGCGCTGCTCTGAGTAGGGTTTGTGGTGTTGGGGTGTAATTTATTCACGTCTAGTGAAGGGGTAGGGTTTTCGTTTTGCGGCTTTAGTCAAGCCCAAATAGGGTTTGCAGGCTAATCCAACCATTTTTGGCCCAACTATTTTTTTTTCATTTGTGATTTTGTTATTCTAAATCGTCAATTTTGTGAGATTTATTTTTAAGGAAAATGCTAACCAATTTACTGCACTAATTAAAGAATAAAAAATATAATTTTTTTATTGAAAAATGCTTCTACACATTGTCTGAATAAATTTATTTAAATTTTCAATAAAAATTTTCTACATATTAATTCTTTATAAGACATTTTTTTTATTAATAAAAGTGGTATAAAAACTACTGGAAAAGGGCTGTCATGAGTTAAAAAAAGTTTAAATGTAAGACAGGCATAGAGGTTATATAACTTTATAACCTTGATCATTCACAAATATTCGGTATCAATTTGGTTATCAAAATCATATGACTGATAAAGAGTATCAATTAAGCACGCCATACTACAATTATAGATGGCATAATAGAAGAAACTTATTTTAATTCTAACTAAACTCCCTAAGTCTGTAAGCCACAGTCTGTAGATTATATTTCCCAAGCTTTCATTAGCGGACTTATATACTATGAAACAATTAATGTTATTTATAAAAAACAATCAATTGATATGAGAAAATGTTCCGTTCTTAATTTTTTGTTTTTACCTTTAATTATACAAATTTTAAAATATTTTATATTTTATATTTGCAAATATTTATATAAAATCAGTAAAAGTAATAATTGTTTTCACCATTTCTCATATAAAATTTTTAAAGCAGAAAATGAAATAAATACAATATAACATTTTTATAATAGAAAGTATAAAAAATTAATAATAAAAAATTTGCGCACACTATCCCACAAAGAGTTATATCTCACTATTATTAAAATAAAAAAATCCCATACAATGTGTGACTCATATGGCAATTAAGTTATATACTAGCCTATAAGAGTTTCAAACTTTCAAACTCTCTAGAATTACTCTACATTTGATTCACTAAAATTCATGATATTAGATAAGAAAAAAAATAATTATTCTATGCTTAATTTATAATATATGTATATATATATATATAAGATGACAAAAAAAAAAAAAAAACAAGACAAGATAAAACTCTTACTTTTTGCTACTTAAAAAATCGTCTTAAATATAAAAATATTCCCTACCATATTAATGTAACAATACTATTTAAACCCTTATTTATTGTCGTCTAATACCATTATTATCACTATTTACCACACTGTCGTCTCCTACCATTATTATCACAACTCACTATCACTACCACCACCACCTTGTCCCTATCATTATCATTGTTATCACCATCAACATCATCAATATGATAATTATCACGATTCTCGTCACCATCAATCCCTAATGACATATTGCCCCTAAAGGTTTCTCACTGGTTTCATCACCCTCCCCCACCCCAAAGCGAGATAATAACAATAATCCATTATGATAATTAATATTAAAAAATATTATAACAAATTTAACATTATTTATTTGTATCATACATTATTCACCGAACAATGTATATAACAAAAAATTGTCAAATACCTTATGTTGTTTACTTTGTTTTGCACCTTAATGAATTTCATTAAAACAATAAAATCTCACATCTTCAAAGAAGGGCAGACCAAAACTCACTACTAGTACCAAATCATTTGTGCCCAAGCTTAACAAGAAGTTTTTCGAAGGTCGAGATCCGAGAAGCAACATCATAGCAGAGCTCGGCCCAAGGGCCGGGAAAGGTTCTCATGTGAGTGACCGTTGAACACCAAGCAAAAATAAAGCATTTATCTTTGTTTTTCAAAATACACTCATAAAATAAGCTGAAAGTTAGACTGCTACATATATTGCAACATATTCCATTGTTTTCTCCCGTATGAACAAATTTAATACAAGAAATAGGACAACTTTCAAATGACATAAAGGACAAATAAGGGTCAAATGAAATCGTTAACTTATTCAAAATAAATACTAATCTCTATATGAAGTTTTCCTTCTTACCTCTATCTTTTCTCTACAGAAGCAATCAAGCAAAACAATTACAGCTAAACCGAGCAAATCGGGAGAAGTTCTATTGTTTCATGTTTTGATATTATCTACATATACACACACATCAGCGGTAGAAAACCCTGCGCTGTTATATAATTAAGCTCAGCTTGATATTATTTTTATCTTTGATCGTCTTTATTATTCTGTCACACCTGTTCATTTCCTTTAAGAATATTGTACTTGCAAAGAGGACAAGTTGCATTCATCTTTAACCATTTCACTATGCATGTAGAATGGAAATGATGATTACAAGGAAGAACATGAAGTTCAGCTCCATCTTCATAGGAGGAGATGCATATACAGCATTCCTGAAAAAGGAAAAAGAAATTAGATTTATTACTTTCATAAATCTTTTGAACTTTAGTATCCCAACACAGAAATTAGATTTTCTTTTCGTTTGGGACAGCCATAAATTCACACAAAGAACTTATGGAGCTACTGTACTATATGCAGTGGTCAAAATAGAAAATCAAGGAACCATCTTGCAGGAGTGATTAACTACATTAGGCTAAAAGAAATTAATCATGTGTTCAGTAAAACATACTGCATCCTCAGGTGAAAGCATCCGTTCATTCGCCCAGTGACCATTGTTGGTCTCCATGGGAATCATTGATCCACCTCCCTCGTTAGGTGTTTCCTCATTGCTTAACATTTGAAATTTGTATTTTGGAAGTATACTGAGATCCGATTCTGATGCACCCTCCTACAGTCTCATGAAATGAGGCAATTAGAAAGCCCACAAATATTTGAAATTCTTCTCTCCTGATTTATAATTAAAAGGAAGGCATACCTGTCCTGCAACTGCATAGAGAATAGCAATAATACAGGGCAAACAACAACAGAGGGCAATTCCAATCAAACATGCCAAAACAACACAGAAGATAGCAAAGAAGACATCAAATGCCAGAAAGACCACAGCCAACCTGTACAAATCCAAAGAAAAACAGAGAAACCCTTTCTTTAATATCTACAAAATTTGCATAATTCATCATGCAATCAACCAGTTTTCTATCAAAACATAAAAGTAATCTAAAAAACAAAACGTGTTTAAAATAAGAACTCTGATTTGTAATTAAATTTTCAATTTAAAGAAAGACTATTTAGCATTTGCATTGGTGCATATTCTTAAGCTCTGTGGTCTAATTTGACAAATCCAAAGAGTTATTCAATTGATATCTCATATATTAGGATGGATTATGCCATTGCAATCTGAAAAGAGAAGGCCATAACTTCATAAGAATTAGCACAAATGTAATAAGCATGGAGGTAAGTGGTTTTCATAAATGACATGCAAGCATAAAAGACATCGTTATTAATCAAAATAAATAAGAGCATATCTTTTGTAAACATTTGAATGGAAAATCAAGATATACCTCTGTATGAATGTAAAATATTCTTATACATGTATATACATTATTCATGCAAGAGCAAATAGTGTTTGTGTGCACATGTGTACAAGTGCATTTAAAGGGCTTACAAACATTATTCTTGAAATTAAGTTTAAATAAAGGTTTACCAGTATAAACTTGGAGCATCTTGCAAAAGAATATCGCCACCAGAGACAACCCAGTAAAAGCCAACCATCCACCAAAGTAACGAAACCATGGTATTCAATGATGCACATCGTTTTGTGAACCTGAGTTATAGGTAATCAAAATTGGTATACCTAGTCAAGTACAGTCTAAAAAAGTACATATATATAATAATAAAGCAAACAACATGCAATTCCATATTAGATTAACCCGCTTCAGCAGCAAGGCACTCCTACATACAGTAACAGACATTTAATTCTCTTCTCTCACAGTGAATGGATAATCCAACAGTTAGTCCTCACATTACACAGACTGAAGTACAGTTTATATACCAAAAAGCAGTGGAAGGATTCCAATTCCATTGACTAAAATCTTACTGAAACTCAGAGTCCTTTTAATAAAAGGAATCAAAAAAATTTACTAAACATATATATCCCCCAGAAAAGCTAAAAATACCATGATGCTTTCACCCGTACATTATCTATAACTGCAACATTCTATTACCATCTCAGTCACCTCCCAATCAACTAAATCTAGCAAGAGCTTGGTTCACATACCAGGGTACATCAATAGAAGATTAGAAGGCTTCATTGGTATTAAAATTAGCAACATGTCTTAGTATGCCTCTTTAGTAATGCTATCCATATGAAGGCCCTAAACTAGTACAATTGAGTTTTAATCCGGATTTATGGTTTCATAAAGGGAATTTGCAAGAAGCAGACAAAAAGCAGAACAAAGATTTTACAACATAAGGAGACAGTCCCTATACGGCTATATACATTACTCAGATTCTGGATCCTTCGGTGAAGTGCATGTAAGATGCAGAAACTAATATGCATAATTGAGTATATTTGTATTTGTATAGTACTATGAATTGAAGTCTTGCAAAACTATTCATACATGAAAACCTAAATTATCATACGTAAACTACTCAAGGCACTCAGCACTAGTCGAAATTGAATTTGTAATGAGATTCAGTAATTGAATTGAAATGAAACTCAGCAATTAAATTGAAATGAAATTAAACGCACGCAGTAGGAGAGGAACTCCCGGAGGTTCCAGCGTCGTCATCGTCGCTGTCGTTGGCGTCGTCAAATTCGAGGATGGCACCAGATTCCTCGTCCCTCGGAGCGTGGTTCCTCCTCCTGTACTCGAGCCACACGAGCGCGACGTGGACGAGGCACTGGAGCGCGTAGCCGCAGATCCACCAGCGGATCGGCGTGTTCGGCTTCTCGGTGACGGTGCAAGCGAGCATGACCGCGGAGACGACGACGAAGGCCATGTTCCACGTCATGTCGAGCGCCACCACCGGCTTGGAGTAGGTCCAGTCGGCGCGGCGCTCCTCGAGCTCACGCGCCGCCGTTTCCCGGACCATGGCGGAGTGGCCGCGGCGGCCGAGGAGGAGCGCGAGGACGGGGAGGCGGGCGGAGGCATCGGGGCGCGTGCGGAGGAGCGGCGCGTGGGGCTGGGGAGCGGAGTTTGGCGATGACATGGCTGGCTAGAGAGAGAGCGCGCGAAGGCTTAAACGCATAACTCAAGTTGAAACGCAAAAGCTAAAAGGGGAAGCGTTTTCTTCAAGTATATGTGTTGACGTTGAATTTTAGAGTGGTGTATTGGTGTTGAAAATGAAAATGCAAAGTTAAGACCGAGGGAGAGGATCAGACATCAGAGGAACACTTCAGAACACAGTTGCAATATTTGCCTTCAAAAGGACGGTTATACCCCCGGTTATGTTGACTCTTTCTTGATATCAATCACAACACTATTATTATTGTTGGGACAAACTTTTTAAAATTGTAAGATGAAATTTATTAAAAATTATAATGGTAAATCTTGATGGATTTCACTCTCACATTAAATTGTGACATTTATTAAATATTACTTACTTCCTCTGTTTATAATTAGAAGACTTTTTTAACTCAATTATATTATTTTTAAAAATTAGTTATTTAATTAATAATATTAAATTTATCAATCATTTAAATTATTTTTAAAAATTTACTCTTAACAGATTTTAAATTAATATTTTGTCTTTTTTTTTATTATTTTCATTGAAAGAGACATATTTATGTGTCTATTTATTTTCTCTAATTTTAATAAAAAAAATATTCAATTAATTTTAAATGTTTTATAATTTTTTATCTAAAATAATAGTTAATTAAAAATAAATATTTTTAAATATATATAATTAATCCATCTAGCAATTTAAAAATTATTTTATAATAAAAAATAAGGAAAAAAAAGTGAAAACATCTTATATAAAAACAAAAATAGTAAGCAAGTGAAAAAAAAAAACTCCAAAAACTCAAACAATAAAATTGCATTAGGTGGGATTTAAGCTTAGTCGCTCTCCATTGTTAAAAAGGACTTTACCATTGAACCAACAAAAATATTTAATATATATATATATATAGAGGATGATGGTTCAAACGATACCGGTGTAACTTTTACAAAGTGTTACACCGTTTAATAACTTTATATTAAATGTGAATTCGGAAAATTCAGCCGTTAGATTGAAAGTTCATATCTTTTAGATCATATATGTCAAATTTTGTTAAAATTGAACAACAACTTGAAGGTAATCAAAGTGTTCATATTTTAGTATATTTTGAAATGTATATATTACGTCAATTTTGTTTTATGAGAATGAAGTATCAAATTATTTTAAATTAATATAAAATTTGATATATATGATCTAAGAAATATAAACTTTCAATCTAACGGTTGAATTTTCAAAATTCACATTTAATATAAAGTTATTAAGCAGTGTAACACTTAGTAAAAGTTACACAAGTGTCGTTTGAACCCTCCTCGTATATATATATATATATATAAGAAAAAACACACAATAACTTTGTGAAGTATAAGATAAAATACAAGTGAGATATGTTAATTAAGTAATTAGTAACCACATTCTCCTTTCGTCCATCTATGAATACTATATATTATGATCATAAAAGAATAATAACTATCCACGTCTTTATTAGCATAGTCTATCATGATTTTGGAATCACTCTCCACCAAAACCTTATAGAAACCTATATTCCAAGTAATCTATAGATAAATTAATATACTGTTGATTTATATAGTTCAATTAGTTTATAATTAGGTTACTTTGCTTGTATCATATTGATTATAATTTTTATGAGTTATTCTTTAATTTGTGGTATAATTTTATTAAAATTTATATCTATGAAATATATATGATATAATTATTATTTTTTTAATCAATAAATATTGCATCGTATGGCTAAATGAGCGACTTATTGATAAGGATGACAACATGATAAAACATGTATAAGTTTAATTATCCTTGTTCCGTCATCATTCTCGAGATATATATTCATGTTTGTTCTCGTATTCGATTGGTATGAAATTTGTGTCCACATCCATATCTTTGTTCTCGTTGAGTACCGGGTATACCCATACGCACTTAAAAATTAATTAAAACTTATAAAAAAATAAAAAAATAAACATAGAGTAATAATTATAAAATTGTATTAATTAAGTTTCATTTACATGAAATTAGAATATGGTAGTAATTACATAAATGTCAAGTAATTTTTTTAAGATAAAATAAACTTTTAGAAAATTAAAGCGAATAGGAACAGATAAACATATACTCATCTCTGACCCCGTACTTTATTTAATAAATTGAGTATTACTTGTACTCGTACCCATACCTAATCAATCTATATATTTTCATCAAAGTCAAAGCTGATTCAAGTATTATGCATTGGTTTCTTGTAATTTCCATTTACCAATTCAACCTCTGAAACACTAACTCAATATTTTGATCAATTCGATATTTAAAACATTGGTGTCAACTGCCAAATGAAGGCCAATAAGACACATGTTCACTACTCCAACATCCCCCAACATACATACTATAAAAAACAACATTTTTTTTTCTATACGAAATAATATTAATTTTCCAAACAATAGTATTAAAAACAAATTATTGAAATATCATACATATTAAATACATGTGTTTGTAGACAAATGATACATCATGTTTGAACATGTTATGTTCAAAAAGCTTATTTTTTATGAACCTTGTGAGATAACATACATTTGTCTTATATGTATATATATATATTTTTTTTTCTTTTTATGTTATAAAAACATTTATATTTATTACCATTCAAACAATAATTTTGAGATATTTTTTTGTTTTACATTCATTATTACCTTAGTCTTTTAAATTAAAAAGGTGTCAATAAGTCATTAAACTTCATTACTTATTATCATTTTGACTATTTAATATATATAAATATTAATGAGTCATTCACAACATCATTTTGTATGTCTATCTCTTTTCATCATTAATAAATACAATAATTATGTGATAGATAGAGACACACAAAAAAATCATGTTATACAAAGTGTTATATAAATTTGTTGTAGAAGTATTATTTTTCTATTAATATTATTGTTTCATCTAGACATTTTATTTATTTTGAACTAATTTGATTGTCAATTTGTATTTTTAGAGTTTTTCTTGTTATTTTCTTTGTTTCATAAACTAATATGAATACATCTCTCAAATTTAGTGACCAAAATGACCATTAACTTTTTAATTAATATTAATGTAGTTTTTTTTATTTTTTATAATATCAAGCAAGCCTTTAAATATATAAGAGACCTAAAGGTGATTTTGTTAATCGTTTAAAACTTCTATAGACTTATATCTCGTATGGTCATCAGTAGTTAAAATACAATAACATAAAAGGACAAGTTTATTTATTCAACGAATAAGTATTGATAGACTTATTTAACTTAATGAAACATCAAGCTTAACAATCTAATCATTAAATTAAAAGTTTTTAATACATATATTAAGTATTCAAAAAGAATCACATGCTACTTTGTTATATAAATTTAAATCAATGTATAAATTTATAAATTTTATTAATGTATTAAAAACTTTTAAATTAACAATTAAATCATTAAATTTTGATGTAAAGCATGAATTATTAATTAGAATAAGATTACTAAAACTTGTTTTTAGAATAAATAGATCCCTCATCAATCATAAAAGATAAAGAATAATAATTATGCTATCTTATGATCATTCCCTTTTCAATCAATATTAAGTTATTAACTTGGTCTTTTAATTTTTTTTTGTAATATCAAATAAGTTATTGATTTTTCTTACACCAAATCCTTAAATATTCGAGAGACACAAAAGTGATTCTAATAATTATAAAAACTCTTAGAGGCTTGGAGTTTGTTTGGTGATTTATAATTAGATAAAAAGAATATAGTTATCTTATTATCATCCTTATGGACCATTGGGTGCTTCTTTTCTTAATTTCCGGTGGTTGGACATTTGTTGTGAATGGGGCCTGTGTAGTAATTGAGCTGCTATCAATCAGCAATAAAAAAAAGTTTATCCAATAAGTATATAATTATCAATTCCATACCAAGTATTCATAATAATGCATTTATTCGATATAATTTAAAAATATATAATATAAAATATGTTTACATACAAGACAAATTAAACATCTTTTGCATCTCAATATTACAATTGACATTTCATATACCACCAATGTTTTTTTCCCAATATCTGGTTTACATTTTTAGGATTTACGTGAAGATGTGGTTGAACTCGTGCACCTAAGAAATAAAGCATGTTGGTGTTCTGCAAACAATGACATTTCGTATACTACCAATGTTCATTATTATTATTTTTTTGCGCACGACCGGTGGCACTTGAGGACAGAGACGAGGGACGGCCGTGGATTGAGTTCTCACGGTGAAAGAAGATCTTATGTTTCACGATCATTCCTATCTAACATAAATAAAAGAGAGGACGTAAGTGTAATTTTATAATTTTAAAATAAAACAATATTAAAAAAGATAGTTACTGTAGTACAACTTTCATTACTCATGATTATGTGGTTTTTCTCCACCCTAACAACTGTCTAATAAAGAAAATAATGTTAGATGATATCAGTTTTGTTGTACAATTTTATTATGTGTAGTATTACTTATTAAAAAAGTATATAATATGATAAAAATTGAATGTTATAAGAATAGTTTAAATAAATAAAATTTTACATTGAGAATCAATTAAATTGACAATCTTATTGAGCTTTATAATAGGAGTAATTATATTGAAAATCATACCATTAAAATAATATATTTATTTGCATTGGTGGGAGAACGAAAGTGTTTTGCCCGCCACTATCAATTTACGAAAGCCTCCCCAAAACCCTACATCGCCATCTTCTCAGTTCCACTCCCCAACGCTTCTTTCTCCCCTCTCTTCCGCCAATTTCAATTTGCATTCTCCGTTTGTTTCTCGGCAAAGCCACGAACCAAAGAGGGTTTCAATTTCACTCCCCAATCCAGCTCAAGCTTCTAACCGCAGGGATGTCGTGGGAAGACGAGATTGTGATGCGCGATGTTACCAATGCGGGCCTTGTTGTCAGCGATCGCATTGGTCGCGAAGTTTCGTCTCAGCTCGACCTCGAAGAAGCTCTAGAAGCTTCCAGATACGCTAGCCACCCTTACTCCACTCACCCCCGAGAGGTATCTCCCCCAAATCTAAGGGTTTCTACTCATTTTTGTTATTGTGTTCAACTGTGTACGCTCTGTAATGTAATTTTAGTTTTTTCTCCCTTAATTTGAGTTATTCGCCGGCATAGGGATTCCTTCGGTGTGTTTGTTTACCGCGAATGAATGT